TGTACTAAACAAAAGAAAAACACAAAATAATGAAATAAAAATATTTTCATATGTGGTGCTCATTTTTTGTTCAGTCTGCCAGCCCGTCACAATCTTATCTTACTTGTCCCACCTGAATGTCTTAAATTTCTCTCCTCAGCAGTATTTCATAGCTAAATGTATAGAATATTGTTTTGTTTAGAAACATTAATTTTAAACATTTAAAAATGTGTATTTCTGCTAATTTCAAAGCTGTCATGTGTATGTGGCTGATTCTGTTGTTGGCAATATATCCAATAGAAAACCAGAAAAATAGAGAATATTCACTAACTCTCATAACATTATTCCTTTTGATGTCTGATATGATTAATGTAATATCTTCTTGAGTGTTTTTCTTCACTGTCTTACAGTTTCTTTGCTTGTATTTCTCATGTACCTTTCTGGCTATATATATATCTACATGGAGGGAAGCATGTAGTGGGATACCCCAACATTCTGTCTTAGGCCCAGTATTCTTCAATACTGTTGCTAACTTAGATGAGGGGATAGAAGTGGAACTCATCAAATTTGCAGACACGAAGCTGTGGGAAATAGCCAACACTTTAGCACAGGATTGTCAAACTCCTGGTCCGTGGGCCAGATGCATCACACGCTGGCTACACCCATGCCTGGTTTAGCAAAGGGGGGGAGAAGTCCCATACGTGACATGATACTGCCGTGATGATGTGAGTTTGACACCCCTGCTTTAGAAGATAGGCTCAGGATTCAGAAAGATCTTGACAGACTTGAACACTAAGCCCTATTCAACAAAATACAATTCAATGTTGAGAAAAGTAAGATTTTACATTTAGGCAAGAAAACCAAAAGCACAGGTGGTACTGGTTCAACAGCAGTTACTGAGAGAGGGATCTAGAATTCCTAGTAGACATCACTTAATTATGAGCCAAATATGAGTAGCAGCTGCCAAAAAAGCCAACTCAGTTCTAGGCTGCATCAACTATCTACTGTTTACTATTGACCTCACCCCTTTCCTAAGAGGTCTGTAGGGGGCAAGCATAAGTGCACCAAAATGCCTACCGTCCCTGTCCTATTATTTATTTTTCTTATATGTATCAATTTCATGTATTCATAACTATGTATATACTTATACATACCGGTATTATCTTGTAAGCGATATTGACAAATCAAAATAAATAAAATAAAAATAAAATAAAGTGGGGGATAGAATCAAGGTCACATTAAGTGTTAGTACTGCTTTGGTAAATATCGCATCCAGTTTTGATCACATTACAAAATACATATTCAGGCTCTAGAAAAAGTGCAAGAACAACAAGGATGATTAGGAGAATGGAGGCTAAAACTTAAGAATGGTATACAGATATGTCTAGGGTGGCTGACAAAGAGAAGGACTAAGGGTGACATGAAAGAAATCTTTAATATTTAAGGGGCTGTCACAAAGGGAAAAAAAGGGACACGGTGGCTCAGTGGCTAAGACGCTGAGCTTGTTGATCAGAAAGGTTGGCAGTTCGGCAGTTCGAATCCCTAGCACCGCATAATGGAGTGAGCTCCCATTACTTGTCCCAGCTTCTGCCAACCTAGCAGTTCAAAAGCATGTAAAAATGCAAGTAGAAAAATAGGGACCACTTTGGTGGGAAGGTAACAGCATTCCGTGCGCCTTTGGTGTTTAGTCATGCCGGCCGCATGACCACAGAGACGTCTTCAGACAGAGTGGGCTCTGTAACGGCTTTGTAACGGAGATGAGCACCGCCCCTAGAGGTGGAAACAACTAGCACGTATGTGCGAGGGGAACCTTTACCTTTACCACAAGGAAAAGAGGTTCACTCTATTCTTCAAAGCACCCGAGGGCAGGACAAGAAGTAAACTGGGTGGAAGATCATTAAGGAGAGATCTAACCTAGAACTAAGGATAAATTTTCTGACACTGAAAACAATTAATTAGTGTAATAGTTTGCCTCCAGGAGGTATGGATGTTCCATTACTAGAGTTTTTAAAGAAGAGATTGGCAGTCATTTGTGTGAAATGGTACAGTGTCTCCTACTAGAGGTTGGACGAGAAGAGTTCCAAGATCGCTTTCAACTCCGTACTTGTGATATTGTGCTGAATCAAACTCTGCTGAAATAGATAGATGCGTGCCTAACATGCTATTTTCTTTTAGGATAAGCAGTTTTACAGTATGCTTCACATACTTTTGGAAGAAAATAAAGAAAGAATAAAAATAGTAAACCAAAATAATTATAAATAACAATCCTCTTTGTTTAACCTTCTTTACCCACTTCTCAAAATTGTTTTCCATAAAAAATATTCTGCATTTTCTCTGCTTTCTTGAAAGATACACGCTTTGGTTCTCTTTAACTACATTTTAACAACACTTTTTTTCCTACAATATATATACATTTTATACTAGTCATTCTATCTGTTGGAAGAAATATCCTTCTGGGTTCAGTTCCAAGTGGGAAGACACTGGAAACACAGTGACTGCTTGGAAAGATGGTTTTAATGGTGGACAGGACCACATGCCTTGGAGCTCCTGAGTGAAAAAGGGAAGAGATACTGAGAGTCCCTTGGTTTTATGCCCTCCCTGGACTTTGAACTTGCTTCCTGTTCCTGTATCCTGATTGGTTGTTAGATTCCCATGGGGCCATGCAGGGGTAGCTTGGTTGAATCTTGCTGGGTGATGAAATCTTCCCAGGTGTCATGTGGTGAGAAGGGTGGAGGGCTAATCCTATCATGCCCTGATCCCATCACAATGGTGCTGAAGGGGGGGCACGGAGCTGCAGGGAGCTGCTTTGTCAAAGACATGTTTCTTCTTTTCTCATTGATAGAAATATAATATTCTGCCTTTTTAATATTTCCTAGAATATTTCATTTTTCTAGGAGAGGGGAGGGTGCTAACTTTCTACACATCTCAGCCCTAATCAGTGGCAAGTTCAGTGACTAGCTGGCTAAAAAAACATTATTGCATCACACTTTGAGAGTTTTGCTGTACGAATTAGTTAATGAAGTAGAAAACAAGTGGACTCTTCTAAGAAGCTCCCAATACTAAGAACATCCTCCATTTTTTTAATTCTCATTTTTTTCATCAAACATTCTCTTATAGGGATTTATCTAATTCACAAATTCCATTTCTGTATTTTCTTGTTACTGGAGTTCCACACAATTCTGTGGCAATCTATAACAATTCTTTTCACATTGTTCCAAACAGCTTCTCATATTCTCTTATCTCCACTTTAATTAATTCTGATAGAAGATCAATCTATGGATCAGAATCTCTCATCAGCCTTGTATCTTTTTCATCATGAAGGAATCAATCATGCCTTTAGATTTGTATTGATTCCTTTGTTATATATATTCTTGCTTAAATCACATACTATATTTGAAACAAACTATTTTATAAAATAACAAACCATCTTTTCATTCATTCCTGGATTCCAAAATGGCTGAATTTTGTTTCCCACTGTTGGAAGAAATATCTTTCTGGGTTTGGTTCCAAGTGGGGGAAAAGACACTGGAAACATGGAGGCTGTTTGGAAAGATGGTTAAGTGGAAGACAGGACCACATGCCTTTGAGCTCCTGAGCGAAAAAGGAAAGGAATGCTGAGAGTCCCTTGGTTTTATGCCCTCTGTTGGGATTTGAATTTGAATTTGAGTTTGTATTCTGATTGGTTGTCAGACTCCCATGGGGCCATGCAGGGGCAACCCTGTAGGCTGTCCTGAGTTCCAGGCTTGGTTGAGCTTTGCTGGATGATGATGTAATGAAAGGGCTTTGGGCAATTCTTATTATGGCTCTACCTGGAGAGGTAGATCTTTGTTATCTAAAATAACACTGCCCCAGGCCTTAATAGCCCATTGACAAAGGCGGGTGTGTGTGTGTTTCTGCCTCTCTACTTCTCTTTTAGGGGAAATATTCTGCCTTTTTAATATATCCTAAAATATTTCTTTTTGTAGGAGAGGGGTGGGTTATAACTTCCAACACTACTTTCCTAATATTTTTTTTCGTTTAGATTGCAGTGTTTTAGAAGGTTATAGTTTCTCAGAAAATTTATTCCTGGTTCTTCTAATCCCAACATTAATTGGAATACAGCACATAAATATCACCAGTCAAGGATTCTTACATTAATCCATTTCTACAATTACCAAGGATACTTTCAGACATATATTGGCTCTTTCATTCCCTGCATGCCTTTCAGTCTATAAGAGCAAACTACCTCAATTTTGATTAGCATTATATCTTCACTCTTTTACTTTTATTAGACCTACAATAGATATATATTAACATGTTAGTTACCATTTCTATTTTAAGATGCAGTCTCCTGCATGCTTACTTGTTATCAGATGTGACTATCATTATTGATCTCCTCTGTCCAGCCTAGGTTTGGGCAACTGAAATTCATAAAATATTAGAATTGATGAGACCTTTCAAAGTACTACTTGATGGAGAGCTCTGTGGAAGAGGTTTGTTCACTTGTGAAGTTACTGTTGCATTCTTCCACCTTTTCCAATATGGGACCTCTCCAAATATGTAAGCTCACAGCTAGAGAGCACAGATTGAGGAAGGTTGTGATGTTTCCTTGGAACTTTGAACCATCGAATTACAGGCCTCGCTCAGAGCAGTCTCAAGAATAGTAAAGGTTCAGTAGAAACATTAACTAGTGGAGCCCTAGCTGTTGAGCTATGCCTGCCTGTTGAAATTAGAAGTGCACTAATATAAACGAATAATACTTTTTCCCCCGCATTCTCAAGGTGATCTCTCTGATTTTGGAGATAGGTATTTAACGGCTATCTCATGCGTTGTAGGAGGCTCTATATCCGCATTATGCATATAATACATTATAATACATTAGCACGGGCTACAAGAGGCGGGAACGTCCTCAACACAGCTCCCGCCGCTCTTGCGTTACTCCTCCCCGTCTTTATCTTCCCTTCTTCTCCTTCCTCCCCACCTAGCCAAAGTGTTGCCCCTCCCCCCTCCAGGGTGCTTCTCTTCCTTCCCTCAATGGCGGTTGGCGCATGCGTGGTGCCGGAAAGCGGCCCGGGCCATGGTGGCCGTTTAAAGGTAACTGATTCAACAGAACGGGAGCCCTGGAATTTTGCACCGAATTTCTCTCCTTCCCAACTCCGCCGTGTTGTCAGAATATGACAAATTTTCGGCTTTAGAAAAGAAGGAAAAGGAGAAACGCCTGAAAATTTTCGCGCCTCCCCTGGACGTTTCAGGTCGTGCAACTCCCACCCAACCCCCTCAAAATAAGTATTTGAGGAGGCGAGGTTTTTTTACTCCCTTGCGAAAGCAGCTTACCTATATTTAGCCCCCACCCCGCCCTCGCTAAGACTGAGAGGAGTTCTTTGCCCTGTTCCTTAACGCTTTGTCCACCCTATTCATTTTACTAATAAAGAATAAGTGGAAGGAACCTCCCTCCCCCCCCCTTAATTTCCACAGCGCCCTTTCTGAATACGGGACCACCTTATAACCAGAAAGGCTCGGGGAAAAGCTGGTAAGCGAGTGAGATATACTATACAAGGAACCCGTTGGCTTCCCATTTCCAGTGTACAAGACACAACGTCGTGTGTTGTGTACGGCTGCTCCTGTAGTCTGTGGCACGCCGGTAACCTGTCCCACGTTCTCGTGGGAGGTTGCTTCCCAGTGAGGAGAATCCGCTAGAAAGGGTGGATTTGGGAGCTGGGTTGGTTAGCCCACACGCTTCCTCTCTGTTATCAGTTTTGCTCGACGAGGAAAGACGTAATCCCCTCTCCCGATCTGTACCCTCCCCAATACCCACTGGGCACCGCTGTGTCCGTTAGAAGGAAAGAAACCCAAAGCCACCCCCTTTCTCGTTCCTCCTTCCTGCGGGGGGGAGGAAAGCGTGAAGAAGCCAACGCACCCCTCCCCTCCATCCCTTGCAGAAGAAACTCAGTCTGATCTAAGCGGATCAGCTGCGTTTGTTAGCAAGCGGCCCCTCCGTTCCGGAGAGCCAGCAGGGCCCCTGCTTCGCTTTTCCTTACATCAGCAGGGCTGGCACTCCCGTAGTCTGGAAAAAGAAGAGTAATAAGGAAAGCAAAGAGATGGTTCTTGCACTAGCGGCAGGGAGTTGTGAAGGTTGGTGACTCGGGAGAAACGGCCGGGGGAAGGTGGTGTAGGAAGAAAGGGAGGCGATGGGTCTTGGTGGGGCGGGTGGCGACGACGGCGGCGCCCCAGGAGGGGTCCAGGTGGGGAATTTGGACCGGCAGAGGAGTGGAGAAGGGGGAGGCGGAGGAGTTGTAGCGGCAGAATCTGGAGACTGAAGGTGCTGCATCGCCATGAGATCGACCGTCTACAAAGCAACCGCGACAACGACAACGACGGGGCCGGGCTTGCTGGAGCCTGGCCCGAAGGAAGAGGAGGAGCCGCCGCCGCATCTCCGCCAGCCTCCGCCTCCCCCGCAGAACCAAATCCCCGTGCCGGCCCCCGTGGCGGCAGCGGGCCCCAAGGGCCGGGCAATCGTTCCGGCGGCTGCGGCTCCCGGACAACAGCAACAGGAAGGCGGCGGCGGCGGCGGCTGTTGGGGCGGCCTAGTGCCCTCGCCGTGCCCGGCAGGCAGTACTCGGCAAGCGGGCGTGGGCGATGCCGCCGGCAGCTCCCGCCCCTCCAAGTACCAGGCGGTGCTGCCCGGACACACCGCTGCTGCTGCTGCTGCTGCAGCCACCGTCGCCAAAGACGGCAAGCGCGGCGGCTCCCACGCCGGGCCTGGAGGACCTCCAGCGTCTCTTTCGCCACCGCCTCCGCCGCTACTGTCGTCGGCTTCCGCTACGGCCGAACCCGGGCAGCCTCCCCCACCCCCAGCAGTGGCATCCGGGGGTTCTCCGGTTTCATCGGAACCAAGCGGCAAGTGGAAAAGTGCTAGTAGTAGCAGCAGCACCGGGAGCGGCGGCGGGAACAGCCTTCGGAAGAGCCCCATGGGGGCCGGCGGGGGCAACTCTAGCCAGGCGGCCTGCCTCAAGCAGATCCTGCTGCTCCAGTTGGACCTTATCGAGCAGCAGCAGCAACAGTTGCAGGCCAAGGAAAAAGAGATCGAAGAACTCAAAGCCGAGAGGGACACAGTGAGTTATGTGTTGGGTAATGTGGGGTGGAGGGGGCTAACGTTCACATTGGAGTGAATTATATTCGGGGAAAATGTGGTAACTCCAGGGTTAATAAATGTTGGGTGTGCACTGATTTTTGAAGGGTTAGTTTTGGGACCCTGGTGTTAACAGTGGGAGGGGTTAATGTAAATATAATGTAGTCCCCTACATTATGCTTATTGAGAGTGAATGTGTAGATGTGTAGAAAAACGGGGTAGGGCAAACTGATACTGATAATGGGTAAAGGGATGAGAGCAAAATATATGATTTTGGCATCTAGTTTGGGGAATGAGATTGGACTGTAGATTCAGATTTAAGCAAGAAGGATTAAGAATTCCACAGAGATATCCCCTACCAATCGCAATAGGATTCATTAGTAGAAGACTTGGTAAAGAGTTCAATGTAATTAGGGATTGACTCCTGAAATGGAAATCAAATGTAGGAATAGTATGGAAGAGATTAATTGTGACTAGAAAATAAGAGTTTCTTAAAATTCAAAAATTAGGAGTTTCTTTTCTGTATAATCAGTACAACAAACAGCAATAACAATGTGCAACTAAAGTGTTAGCTTGGTAATTACAGTAATTGGACTTGTAATATTGATATATGCCAAGTTAAGCAACCTATAAGGTTAATAACCTAGAGGTTATGTCAAGACTTGGCTACCTGATAGTGCATCCAAAGGACATTAGTACAGCCCAGATATGTAATATTTGGAGATGGATTATGGAAAGAGCTGCAACTATTTAGAAGGAGGAAGGGTATATGGCCCCAGGGCAGGAAGTCTTTGGCAACACCAGGGTTAACTTAAAGCAACAGATATTTGGGGAAGTGTATGGCAGAAAATGAGTTAATTTAAAGGGGGCAGCAAAAACAACCAGCTACAGTTTATGTCATGTGGACACCAAATGTGTAGAAGAAGGCTCTTTTAACTGGTACATTTAGAGATGTAGGTTTGGTACTATCTTCTATCTCCATTCTTCTCTGGGATTTCCTTCCTCTCATTTTCCAGAAGCACAATCCACTTTTTAATTAATAATGTTGCAGAAAAAACAGTATGTGCCACTCTGATAAGATATTCCTTTTTATCTTTGTCTAGACCAAGGGTCTTCAAACTTGGCAAGTTTAAGATTTGTGGACTTCAACTTCCAGAATTCCTGAGCTAACATGACTGGAGGAGGAATTCTGGGAGTTGAAGTCCACAAGTCTTAAAGTTGTCAAGTTTGAAGACCCCTGGTCTAGACCCTACATATCCTATCTTGCCCTCCCAGATGTAAAATGATATAAATTATGTAAAATTCTGTTGTTCAGAACCTATAAGTTGCAGTATGAGGACTGATGTTACTGAAGAATTAATCTTCTCCATACAAAAGAAATGCCTACTCTAAGCATGGGAATATATTAGAAAGTGTCCATTGCTTTCTTATCCTGTTACTAATAAGTAAATGGAGTATGGCTTGAAGAGAGAATGTGGATCAGCCGTAAATGAAGATTGATTTATTTTGCTGTTTTTAAGAATGCTATCTGAAGCACCAATTGCATAATGTACATTTCTTAGCTGTAGTCCCAGACTCCTAGAATAGTTGTTTGATGGTTTATTATTTTAACTGTTCCTCCTCCAGCCCGTCTCTAAATTGCCAGAAAGATTTTAATCCTGGACTGTATACATGACAAGTCTGCAGCCTAAAAATAGCCCCCTCTAACCAGTTCCTGCAGCTGCTTGCACCCATTATTACTAAGGAAAGAAATATTTTCCTCTGCTTTAATCATAATCATCGGGGTCTGTGTTCAAAGTGCATGTGGGGTAGGATAGTAGCATTAGAATCTGGTTTCAGGAAGTAGCATAAAATATTTATTTTACTGTTTGAATCAGAAAACTGTTTCCAACATTACAATGTAAAAAAAAGTCTTAGGCCTATGCAAAGTGAACCAATATGAAGGAGGCAGCTGCCATTTTGCTGTCAAGGATGTTATGATAGGAGGCTGAGTAGTTCACATGCTCCTGCACAGGCTTGCAAAAAAAGAGCAAATCATAAATATGCACACCAGGAGGAGCTAGAATATGCACAGAAGAGTTAAATGAAAGTTTGTGAATTCGGTGGATACTCGAACTGCTGGTTCGATTGTTGCTGCGTTAATTGCAGATTTATAAGGTATCTACAATGATTCTCTTTTTGTTCTGTTTTCCACCTTTTCTTCCTATGAGGTTTCTCTTTTCAGTTTCAGTTATACAAATCCTGGAATATCCTTCTTCATATCATTACTCTTACATGTTATTTACAATACTAATTTTTAAAATAGAAGCTTTTTGGAAATTGATTTTAAATTGTACATTCTAAGAATTAATATCTAGATATTTAATCAATAAGTAAAGGTCTGGGGCCTTGACTGCACCTGCATGATTACCATCTGCACTTTTTTGACACCCCCCACCCCCCAAAATCACCTCCACTCCACATTGAAAAAAACTGCTGGTGCTCCTAACACCCTCCCTTAGCAATATTTCTTATACATATTATTTGCATTGTCTGGTCATGGGTGGGGGAAATGAGTTTTTGTAAGTTGTATGAACCTGTCAGACTGTCAAACTATTATTCCACCTGAAAGCCATCAAAACTTTTTGCAATACTTTAAATCAGTCTTATATCCTACAGCTGTGGCTGAAATGGGACAGGATAAATAATTTGGAACAAAATGAACATTCTCTGAGTGACACCTATGGGTGCTTGTCTTCTAGCAATATTTCTCTTGGAATCTGGCAGGCTCTTTATTCATCTGATTTTATTTTTACATTCTTTTAATTTTTAAAAAAGGCAAGCCAATATGGTAAACATACTTAAAACATTACTTTTCTTGGTTTTTTTTTTTTTTTTTTGTAAACCTGAAGGGCTATAGACATATAGCCATATAGACACTTGTACTCCCTTTTAGTTATTGGTATTCAGTTGACAATTTTTTTAAAAAAATTCTGTTCCAATATTCTAAATGCTTTTGAACCATCCTTCAGCTTTATGAGGTGGGTTGGGCTGAGGGAAAGTGTCTGGGACAGCCAGATTCTGAGTTGGAAAGCACTCTCAAATTTTTATTTAGTCGTTTCATGCAGTTATTGAGGTAATGTGATTCTTGAGGAATCTGTAATGTTCTGGGAGTAAAAATATCCTAAATTGAAATATTAAATGTACACTATTATGTGCATATAATTCAAAATAGAACATACAAATAGTTCTCAAGTTAAGATCATAAGGGAACCTGCCCCTCATGGTTGTAATTTGTGATGGTCATAAATTGGGGTCACCCATTTTGTTAAGCAATGCTTTGCTATGGGCTGGTTTTACTGAAAATGAAAATAAATGTCAGTTTTGTCAAACCATCATAAACTGGTTATATGACCAAGGGACATTGCAAATAACCATAAATGTAAGCCAATTGCAGAGTGCCTGGAATGCCATCCCATGACTATGGGATGGTGCATCAGAACTTTAAATCCAGTTCATAAGTACCTCCAGGGAAGACCATGGTAACTTTGGCTTATAAGCAACTAATTGTAAGTCAAGGACTGTCTATACATAGGTTCAGCTCACGTTAACAAAAGAAGCAACCAAAGATACAGTTGCTTCTCTAAATTCTTAATTCTAGAAATTTCATCTTTCTCTCATAGAAGCAATTGAATCCATTGATTTGGAAATTGAATCCCTACATTATTAGAGCTGTTTCAAATACAACTTTCATTTACCTGCTTTAAACTAAACAGGCAAATATACACTGTTACTTTTTGAAATTGTCATGCAGTCCCAAGAAAAGTTGAGTATGGTTTAATGAGCTGCAGTGAAGTGCTTTGTGCATGCCTTGGCATGCTCCAATGTACCTTTTTGCATTTGAATCCATAGCACTGACAGTTCTAAACATTATTCTCTGTGATAGTTTACATGTAGTAAAAGTAACATCCATGGTATTTCCTCATAAAAGGGAAGTAGGCTTCCTTTTTTGAAACAAAAACTGTATCCTGGCAAAGAGATGCAGCATTGGGTAGCTAACTTAGTAACACTGGTATACAACATAGTATGCATATTTAATGCAGATTATTGTTGCTGGTCATCTATCTGATGATATATTTTGGAAAAGAATGTTTTTCTTTCCTACATACACATGGTGTCAGTCTTGTAAATTATTTTAAACATATCATTACAGATAGACCTCGACTTAACAATCATTCATCTAGTGACCATTCAAAATTACAACATAACTGAAAAAAGTGACATGATAGGTTTTTTACACAACCATTCAGCATCCGTGTAATCACATGATTAAAAGTCAGACATGTGGCATGTATTTATTATGGTTGTAGTGTCTCAGGGTCATGTTCTCACCTTTTACGACTTTCTGACCAGCAAAGTCAATGAGGAAGCTAAATTCACTTAACCCATATTATTAACAACTGTGATGATTCATTTTACAAAAAAGTTTGTAAAATGGGTCAAAACTCACTTAACAATTGTCTTGCTTAGCAAAGGAAATTTGAAGCTAAATTTTGGTCATAAATTGAGGACTACCTGCATACAATATACTGGTAAGCATTGCAGACTTAGCAATATTAAAATTATAGTGCAACTTGTGTAGAACTTGTACTTTGTTTCTATAGTGTCAAAGTTGAGTAAGTATTAGTAATTACAAACATTGTATTTTGTTAATGGAATACCATTTAATACCAAATTGCAATGTTGTGTACTTAGCTTCTTGCTCGAATTGAGCGTATGGAAAGGAGGATGCAGTTGGTGAAGAAGGACAATGAGCGTGACAAACATAAGATATTTCAAGAGTATGAAACGGAAGAAAAAGTTGACCCTGATATACCAGAGAAGCTGCCTATAGAATGCCCGCCACCAGAACTCCTGGAGACTTCCCAGCCGCTGCCTTTGAAACATTTCCCATGTGGAAGAAATGGGAAGGGTCACAAACGGTAAAATTAGAAAGCTGCAGTTATATGTTTTTAAACCTGTTCTGTTAGAGTTATGATCAATGAACTGTGAAAATTTTTGTTCTACTAAAGAGCTCTCTGTTACTTACAAACAAATTCTAATATCCTGCAAAATCAATTATTTAAAGAAAACATCAGTGATTAAATCTAATATCAAAAATATTGACTATACTGTGAATGAATCAAATTCAATTGATTCAGATCCCAAACCACAAAATAATTCAAATTGAACTGAATTTGGTTAAAATGTAAAGAAATGTAGCATCAAAACCTGTGTGCTTGCTTTTTAAAAAAATTAAGACAAGTTGCACTAAAATGAATCTCTATAATGTCTGCATTTTGATTTAGAATTGTTAGCCAAAGAACAGAGGGGATTGATTTGTATTTTTTTAACATTCCATATTTGAATGGGGAAACCCACCATTTGTATGTTGGATTATTTTTACTTTGCCCGTAATTTCGTTGTATATTGTTAATTTTTTTTTAAAGTTCTAGCTATTTGTGCTTTTTCCTTTATAGTCATTGGAGAACATGAATCTCTCTTCAGAGCCAAATCATGTCAAATGGAGCACTCTCCCTTTTAGTGGTCTCTTAAGTAGAATTATATGCAGGAAATATTACTTTTAATCATAATCTGCATAAGAATCATGATAGTTGTTGATATGTTAATATTTTCATCAGTCTTTGTTCCTCCCTTTTGCCAAGGGAAAAAAAAGAGGACATAGTGTGTCTTATACATCCATTCTACTATTCTCTTTTAGGGTAAGGAACTTACAGAGTGAAGAAAGAAGTGAAGAAAGGCACAAAAATAAAAATATAGGAAATAATAAAATGCAACATATTTATTGTATTTTACTTACCTTTCTAGCCTTACAGACCGTTCTTTTTACCACCACATCCATAATCATTTCTTACATTACCTTTTCTTTTTTAAAATACATATTTTGATGGTAAAAATATCTTACATAGAAGAATTTTGGAGATAGGTCTGTGATTAAAGCATTAATCACTGCTCTACTTTTTAGCAATGAAAGTGTTTAATGAACACTTTTACAATTTACTTTATGCACACACACAAATTTATTTAAAGAAATATTAATGCTGTTGTATCTCTCCCACATTTACAGATGGAGTGATAATGAGGATAGATTTCAGACAGCTCTTGACTTGCAATTGTTATTGATTCACAATCTACTGATTTCTGGTTTTGAGATAAGCACTTTATTCAAACTAGGGGTTTCACTGAATACTATCTCTAGTTGATTAGGAGCTATAAGAGAGTATTTTTGTTGATTTGGCATGATTCTGAATTCTGAGATCCTAATAATTGTGCTCAACTACATCTTGTGACTTCTTCAAGAAAACTTTTCTTAAATCCATATATGAATTTCCTTTAAATCTTAGAGCTAAAATATTGTTCGACTTTAATTTAATTTCTAATTTTAATTATCTTGATAAAAGCTAAGGTCCTGTGTAGCCTTTTTCTACTTGCTCCTATTAGCCTTTCCCTGTACTTTTGCAGAAAATCTGCGTTTGGAAGTGCTGAGAGGAAAACTCCAGTGAAGAAGCTAGTAGCTGAATTCTCAAGAGTCAAATGTAAAACTCCAAAGGCTTCTCCACTAAAGGAGGAACCCAGTAGTTCTTTAACTGAGTCAATAAGCAGACGTGAACTGCGAAGTCAGGAGACTCCAGAGAAAACACGATTATTGGTGGACACACAGTTGAAGTCTTCGACTCCATTGAAAGGACCTGGGTGCCATTCAAAGGACAAAGGTTCCTGCAGTGAAATAGAAGATTTGCCGTACCTTTCCACCACTGAAATGTATTTGTGCCGATGGCATCAACCACCACCTTCTCCATTGCGAGAACCTTCTCCCAAGAAAGAGGAGACCGTAGCAAGTAAGAGGCTTGCTTATGCCTTTGTGGGATTGGTTTGATATTGGGTTGGAGGGGGAATGAAACTCATTAATTGGGGGTCTCTTTAAGAGTTTTTTGAACACTTGAAGACAGCTAGAGAACAACATTCCATTTCTGAGTGATGCTGATGTAGGTGATTGACTGGGTCTGGAATATCAAAGTCTTTGAAACCCTGCCTGTTCTAGACTGTGTGTGAGCAGTGTATGAAGACCAACCACCCTGTTTAATGAACAGTGGTCATATTTATAAATAACAGTGGCATTTATGTCTCAATATGCTCACAATATATGAAATAAACACCCCTTTATGTCACTGTCTGTTCCCTTTCATGATATGGGGTTGATTTGTGCACATGAAAAAAGTGTATCAGCTAACTAATTCTTGAAAATTAGCTTAACTGATCCAAGAGTATTTGACTTGTTTGCATGATTGAGTAATCTGGTATTTCTGAAGTCTGCTTTCATTTCTTTCCTAGGCAACTCCTCAGTTATAACCTATTTGACTGTACAATACTGCAAATTTGCTCTGACTTGTTTTTTAGTTACTAAGGTTAAGCTTTTGTGGCAATTGTTTATCTTAAATATATGAGGGTGCTTCTGTAACAATTTTTACCCTGTGCGACAAGATGGAGTTTTGAAATCCATCTGTCTGAATCAATATCCAAACTAGTAGTGCAATTGAGGAATACATTCTGTCAGCAGCTATTTTATTTTAAATGAAAGTGGAACAGAAGGAAAAGTAGAAATGGAGAGCGAAGCAAAAAAAAATGCATAATTAAAATGTGCTTCATGATATAGATTGGCTATAAATGTTGGTTCTGCTGAGGATTAGAAGAGAGCGATTAGCAAACAGAACCCTGATTAAGTTAGTTTGATCAGACTATTTTAAAAAATTATAAAGATAATGAATTGCCCAAGCTCTAATGTAGGGCTCTTCAAATTTGACAGCTTTATGACTTGTGGACTTCAACTCCTAGAACTCCTCCTCCAGTCATGTTAGCTCAGGAATTCTGGGAGTTGAAGTCCACAAGTCTTAAACTTGCCAAGTTTGAAGACCTTTGCTCTAATGTAACAAAATGCTAAGATATGATGTAAAATCGTGTTTTTGAAGTCCTGATTATATCTATAGCGTAGCATTGTTAAGAAAAGCCACAGCAAAGTTCTAGTTGTACTTTATATTGAAACAAAGAATGTAGGATCAGGAAAGGTTCACACATTATAATGAGGCAAATATTCTAGAATTTTGTCTCAATTGTCAAAAAGCTAATGTGCTGCCACACACTGGTCTATTGCTGCTAATTGACATCTTCCATTAAGTGTGAATGGATAGATGAAAAAAAGTCTTTAATCAGATTGTTCTATAAAATAGAATCCTTGTCTTGCTTCTTAAAAACAAATCAAGGATCAGAAACATGAACAAATCATGACTTTTCTAGTGCTAAATTGATAAGACAGTAAGCTATAGATTCTAGCTATGGTGCCAAGGAAAAAGATATGACATTTTTTCTGTCCTTGAGAGCAAATTGAGCAGTGGTTATGGTTATACAATCTGATTGACAGTAGTCAATATTTGAAGAAATTCAGACCTACTGTGATATGCAAACAAGACCAGACTCATGTAAGTTAACATATATATGTTATTTTTAATTCTGATTTCATAGGTTAAAAATAACTAAAATATTTCATAAAACATGGGGGAACATTTAAGTGTGTGTATAAAAGCTGATATTAATAGAAAACAACCTGAAAAACATTGAATGACAGTATATTTGTATAATTAATTGGATGATGATAGACCATGAACAATGTATTTTGGCCTATCCAGAATTTATCTGTTTAGTTGTCTATATTCTTAAGAGTTTTTCCTATGAATTGTACTCTTCAGTATTAAAACAGGTCTTCATCTAGCACTCCAAATTTGACATTCCAAATTCATAGTGTTAAAAAAGTAATGTTTACATAATTTACTGAATTGAGCCAAGATTATATAGCAAGGAAGGGATTGTAGCTGGTAAGATCATGAGCTGAAATTTTGAAAAGATAAAGGATCAAAAGAAAAGGATATTGTTCATTGATCTTGTAGATTCCAGTCTTCTCAAAATATAGAATCATTTGAAATCATTGCATTTTTTATTGAATTAGTTTTCAGGTTTTTTAAAGAGAAATATAGTTTAATTGGTTTATCTTTATAGAGTAGACAGTTGAAAGCATCTTGCAGCATAACATCTGAGACTTTAAACCTTTGCAAGCATACAGCATACCTTTGTATCTTTATCCATGAGAGCTCTATTTGAGACATGGAAGGAAGCATTTACAAAAGAGCATCTTAATATACACATCCTTATTTCAGATGAGTGGCTTCAGTTTCAGTCAGCTAGAGGATAACCACTATATGAATTTATGAAGCAATGGCTTGTTTTAAATTCCTTCTTTGTAGCATTTTCAGGAAGTAGTTAATTCCTTCCATGAATAATAATATATCTTGAGATTAAGAGTCTGGGCAGAATTACTGAAATATGACCAACAGAAGCTTTCTTCATTCAATCAGTTTTTAAGCATATAAAAGAAACTATAGTGTAGTATATAGTTTCCCTAGGTGCCTTGATGCAACTAGGAAGAAGATATGTGATAAAATATTACATACATAGTTTGGTTACCCTGGTAGCCTTTCTCCATAGGTACCACTGTTCAGTGGGTGGTGGTCTTAAAAGGTATTACTTTGCATGGGTCATATAATACATTAATTCATAAAATAATCTTACCATAGTTTAAGTGTAATACATTCACACCATAAACTATGGGCTAATTCACACAACACATTAGACTAAAATGTTCTAATTGTAAGAGCTTAAATAGGTTGAATGCAGATATTAAACGAGAGAATTTACTATTCACTATGTTTTTCATAGTAGCACAATTAGTATTTCATTATTAGCTTGATATTCTTAACAGAAAACCCCAATGAAAATATACCTCAAAACATTTTATTCTTTTTCATCAAACTGTTGGGTTTTTTACAAGTTTAACTTGTCAACCATTGTATTTTTTCCCCTCTGGGTATTACTGTTAAAGCAGTTTCTTCCAGTTAGTAGAAATAAAAACAATCCCACAGAATATCCTCATTGTTCCTATTTTGAGCAAGTTCCTTTCTTTGTCCCTCCCAATTTCAATTGGAAAATCCAATATTCCCCAATAATATTGATTGCTTACAAGGTGTAAGTATCGATATTATTCCATATTTTACAGTTTGAACCTAAACAGAAATGAGCTATTGTCTATCTTTTTTATAATGTCTCAAAAAATGATAAACATATTTGTTGGAGAAGCTGCAAAGTAATTTCCTTTTGAAGGTTGGGGAAGAGATTTTTTTCCCCTCTGACACCAGATTATGGACGCTGCTTTCTCTTTTAAGTTAGCTTTTTCTTAACGTCAGGTTGTAATTGTATAGTAGAATGACAACAACAAATTCAGAGCCTAATCTCTCTTTGTGTCTTTGGCTTTGCTCTTGTCTATTTGGCTGTTTTTGCTAACATAATAAGTGCTTGTGTCTTAATAGTTGCCTTGCTGTACTTCATTAAGTCCACCAGCTTACTTCCATCTGCACCCAATTTGTTACTTTGGGGCAGTTCAGATGTCAGGCTCAATGAAAATAGCTACCTGGTCATATGTCTCAAATACTCTGATTCATAATTCATTTGTAAAAAGGATAATAAGTATTCATGAATCCCTTTCTCTTTTTAAACAGTATCGAGCCAATATCTAATGCAGAATCCTGTGTAAATCAGTTTTTCGGGGGGAGCTAGAGCTGGATTAAACTCAGAAGGTTTTGTAATGGTTTCTATTAGATCTAGTTTGTGACGCCTCTGTTAATATCTTGAATAAATGGTCACCAGAGATAAACTTTAGAGTATTAATTTGTTTGAAAAGTTAGCTTGAGAACTTTCAGAAAATATTCCAGGTATCTTTACAAATGTTATGATATGATATAGCGCTGTTATGACATATTATGAAATGTTATGACATAGCGCTGTTTTAACAACCAGCAGATTATTGTAAAATAAGTAATTGTTTGGTTTATGAAAAATAAAAACCAATTCATAGTTTGAAAGTTATTTTACCTTGTAATTTTAGGACACTGATTGATTACTTTATGATTGATATAGGCATGTGTAGGTGAATGGCCTTTTATAGATTTTATATATAAAGTGGCTAAAATTAAGCTTTCTTAGCTACTTTTAACTAGAATATCTTGAACTTGGGTGTGGGGAAGTTTTTAAAAGTAAGTTTAATAGCAAGTTAATATTGGAATGTTTCATAATATTGAAAAATTGTATGTTCTTTAAAAACAAAATTCAAATATGCTTGTAGAATGATGAAAAGGAAGATAAAGGATAGGAAGGTGTTAAGTAATTAATACTAGTGAAATGTCTAACCTAAAATAACTGAATGTTTGATGGTTACATCGTTAGCTTCCTTCACTGAAATATTTCTTTAAAATTAGTATTGTAACATTGTTTTCCCTTTCTTAGTTCCATCATGGAGGGACCACACAGTAGAGCCCCTGAGAGATACAAATCCTTCTGAACTTCAGGAGGTATGTAAGCAAATAGATTTGTAGTAATAATTGAGCAACATAACTAGATACAATTGCTGATATAGAATTGGTAACCTAGGAAGCTGTTATGGAAGAACTATAGTTTCTATATTTTATAACTATATAGACAGCCACCCTAATATATTTGAATTTTTAAACCATACTATCCAACCAGATACTTCCTGCAACTATTATGGAACATATATTGAAATATCAGATAAAATGGGCAATATGTTATATGCTCTGGTAAATTTTGTAGTGCTTATATTTTGACCTGCAGTAGTGACTTAGTGGTTCTGAGGCACACATTTTGAGGGGTTCCTGAAGTCATCCAAATTCTTGATGGCAAATTATTTTATCACCTAAATCACCTAGATGGCACAATTTTATCACCTAAAATTAAATACCAAATTAATTCATTAAGCCTCTAATAAATTTAGTATTTTACTTCATGAGATAGATTCAGAATATTCAGCACTTTTAGAGAAATATATTTGGGAGTTTATTCATTTAAAAAAGAGGGGTGATGTGGCTCAGTGGTTAAAGACACCGAGCTTGTCAGCTGGAAATATACTAATAATACAATCAAACTGGAGAGCTAAATACCAAAGAAGAACCAATTTCAAAATCTTGTAGCAATACAAGCATTTCAGTTTTGATAAAACTAATCCAATCCTGCCCTCAACTACCCTGTTTCTCCAACAATACGGCCTCCCCCAATAGGAAGTCCCAGCATGTTTTATAGGCATGAAATGAAATTAAGCCCCTCCCCCCAAATTAAGGCCTATATTAAAACATGCGAAATGGGGGGGAGGGGCTTGCTGTTAGGAAGTACTCTTGTTGCACACCCGGATATGGTGCTGCCTGCGTTGACCCCGATACAAAGTGCCCCACCAACGCCGAGGTCAACATCCAAGCCGTCGCCGCCCACCCACCCGAAGATGCAAGGGGGGGAATTAAGTCACCCCCGAAAAGACAACCTAGCCATTTTTTCGGGGCTCAAAAAAAAATAAGACCCGGCCTTATTATATGAGAAACACGGTAGTTTTCATACTCGAGGGACATGATATGAGATTCTTAACCATTATCATTTAAATAAAATTTAACAGACTGTTAAATAAGACTGATTTGCAGAATTCTTCATTTATATTTGTATTTAAATCTAAATCTCTTACTGTAGTTAATAAATTAAGTTGTGGCAAAATTAATCCAATTGCATCACAATTAACCTAACTTCTTCAAATTTTGTTTCTTGAATCTTTAGACAGATCATAATGTTTGTAGTATTCTGTTTATAAACAGTGATGGGAAAAGTAATAAGTAATAATATCTTAATAAATAGAGTGGTATTGCAAAGATACAAAAAGTATATCTGGTTCCCTAGAAGGAAAGTTGGCAATCAGTTTTGAACATCTTTAGTCCTATTTTCTTTTATCCTTGGATGATATTTTAACATAAAGCAAAATTTAAGTTTGCTTCTTATGATCAAATGGTAAATAACAAGGCAGACCTAAATGCTTTCCATCAAAAAATGGAAATGGAGGAACTCAGATACTGTGAAAAGTACAGCATATAATATTACCTGTATCTTATTCCTCCTTAAATTTTTTACAGAACTTAGATGACAATGTCTTTTCTAAACGACATGCAAAGTTGGAATTGGATGAGAAAAGGAGGAAAAGGTGAGTGATGAAATAAAGCTGTTCATATGCCAGAAAATTCAGTATCTGCTTTCATTTAAACATTTAACAATAAAGTTTGCATTGGTTGCAAACTGTTAAGGATGTAGTATGAAAGGTTTTATGCAGTTAGTATATCTTAAATGTGTTTTTTGCCATTATACATGTGCCTTATACTATGTGCTAAATTACTTTGGATTGGGGATTTGTATTTAGTTGAAGAAAGTAGGATAGCACTTTCATCTTGCAAGTGATTATTATGGTTTGGCTGTAATGAAAGGACTTGGGATAACCTATAGAAATTGAAAAGCATCCTGTTTAATACAGAGAGATGCACTACTCTTGACATGATTTTTATAGAACTTAAAATACCGGTACTCACATTTTCTATAAATGAACATTTCAAACTTTTCTGTTGTTATTGTTGTTTTGCTCACTCCATTCATAGGTGGGATATTCAGCGTATCCGGGAGCAAAGAATTTTGCAGCGACTGCAACTTAGAATGTATAAAAAGAAAGGAATTCAGGAATCTGAGCCTGAAGTTACCTCATTTTTCCCAGAGTCAGACGATGGTGAGTGGTTGTCAAAATTCTCATATCCCTATCTTATGCACAAAAAATCTTGGATTGAGATTATTCTATTGTAAAAGCAGATGTTTTCAAATAAATATGATAATGTGAATGAACATTATAGCTAAATATATAAAATTACATTATCTTCCATTTCCACTTCTAGTTGAAAGTTTGCTGATCACCCCATATTTGCCTGTTGTAGCGTTTGGCCGACCATTACCAAAATTAACCCCACAGTAAGTATACCAAAGTATTATATATCTGCATTAAGGAATAATGTACTTCGTAAAAGTTGTAGCAGAGTATTTTCTTTCTGCTTACGCAGTGCTTTGTTTGCTTGGTTATTTTGTGGACCAACTTGGGTTTCACTGTGGTGAGAAAACACCAAATCAAAAATTTACCAAATAGCATTTAGCCAATATTACCTTTACATCCTAGGTGCATTTTAGTATTACAAGCTACTCGAAAAATTAGGGACAATGCTGCATGGGCAGTCATGGGGAATTGATTCTCTTAGACTTTACAATGGTGAAATTAATTGAGAAATCATAGAGACTCCTTTGACTGGGCTACGAATAATAACAGCTACTTTTTAAAAAAAGAGTAGAAAATATGGAAAAGTTGGGAGGCTCAGTTGAAACTCCTGACTCACAGAAATTGCTTGTTCATGTATTAAGGAAAGAAATACTTGTCACTGTCAGTCTTATATCACCTGTTGCTTATAAAATATCATCTTTATCATTTTATAAGGGACAAACTTGAAATGTTCCCATTTTAAAACTCTCCCACTTGCTAGTTTTTTTATGGGATTCTTGCATCCTAATGGTGAATATCATACAAATCACATTTCTTTGGCTTCCTTATTACTTGTGTTCTTGCAGTCATGGTTTCCTTCCTTTCATATTGCAAAGATAAAGAAATAAAAATGTATTGATAAAATACATGGGCAAAAATAATTGGTTTTTAGTTTTAGCTCCCATGAATTAAAATACACATTTTTCCTGTTTCACTTTTTTCTACAATTAATAGTAGCTGGCTTTACACACCGCATGAAGCCATAATGTGGGTACATTTCATCATAGCATGTTATGTGGATGGATTTGTTAGTTTGTAATCTATTGCTTAAAGGATAGCAGATATCGTAAACTCAGCCAATTATGTGTTATTCAGCAAACATTATTATAGGGCACTCAGTATTGTAAAATAATGCTCTTGATAAAACATTTTAAGTTTAATATCATCTGTATTCATTTGTTATGTAAATCTTCTAGAAAATGTGCTTACCGTTTGTATTTCTTTGCTGTCAGAATGTAGGCTTGAAGGCAAGTTATGCAAATGTAGACAGAGCTATTAACCATTCTCTTCTTTTCAACATCACAAATAATCTTCTATGGGGCACTTTCTGTTTGGCAGGAATTTTGAACTACCGTGGCTGGATGAACGAAGTCGTTGCCGGCTAGAGATGCAAAAGAAACAGACTCCTCATCGGACATGCAGGAAATAAACGCATCAAACTAGGAGAAATCTGTCTTCATGGTTGGCTATGTCATTTGCTGCAAATGGCAGAGAACAGGACATGTTTTGTTATGTCTTTTTCTTGTACCATCCTCCATGATGTATATTCTTGTTCATTATAAATATTTTTATGCTACATTTCCCTCCCCCCCGGGGTTTATTTTAACTTTTTTAATTATTTTTACCTTTGCTTGGTAGAAAATATTGGAGGTTTGTGTTGAGAGAATAAGGTTAACAATTTATGGTATGCCACCTCTGTTGAGCTGTATTGGATAACTGCAACCACTTTGTGGGAAGAGGTTATCTATCATTGAGCAACACAAGACACTTCATTTGACCTATTGCTTCTAACTGCTATTCTATAAAGCATCCACATATTGATTCATGTATTTTATCCTGCCCCAGTGTCTTTTTGAGGCTTTTTAATGAGTTCCTTTCATGGCTTCTGATTCAAAACAAAATTACTAATCAGGTCTTGAATTTGTAATACTGAATGCAGGCAGTTCTGGTAGTGAAGAGCTGCATATCTTCACATCTTTGTCACAATTCTAATGTATAATTTGGCAAAATCCAGAAATAACCATGCAATGCTAGTTTGTCTCTAGATGTTTTTCTGTTTTGTTTAATAAAATATCTTGTCAAAACTGTGAAACGATTGCTACTGTTTTTTTTTTTTTAATGGACAGTTTGATTTCCCAATGGAAATACTGAGAAGTAGTTTAAACTTCAATTTGTGATTGTTTTAAAGTTTGGCACTTTTTTAAGCTAATCATAATCCTGTAACTTTTACAGTAAGTGAAATCAATACTTTCATCTTCCCTGAGTGTAGGGAATTCGTTTGTAAAATCGCATGTCCTTCTGCCTGATCTACATCATTTTTGGAAGCTGCCTTTGTTTGTGTATTGCCTGCTTATGGGAATACTGAAACTAACTTTTTAAAAAAATGGCTAAAATTTCTAGATAAATGGGGGCGGTTTCAGTTTCTTGAATTGTAAAAAGCCCTACATATAATTTTCTGCATTACTTATGGAGGACACTAAAAACATTGTTTCATTGTCTATTTTAATTTCAAGGTGTTTCAGGACAGTTGCAGTCACATTTCTGGGCAGTTTCCCCTGGGAATTTAAAGTACTATTTTTTCCACCAAAGGTAGAACACTTAGTATGAACATTGTTAAAAGTTATATTCTATGACCTGAAATTAAAATGACAATAATAGATCCTCTTTTCTGCCATGTAGTCTATTGTAGTAGAAGTAGTGCAAAATGATTTTGCTTTAAATGAGGCTGTATTGCATCTTTTGCTTTTTAGCATGCCAGCATGCATCCATAAGTGGTTATTTTTTGTCCCCTGCCAAGTACAAGTGTGGATGTTTCAAAGAAGCAGATTTTTGGTAGAAGCTTCTTGAAGACAATGTTGATTTTAGAACTTGATCTTGCTTTTTCTAAAGTAATTAGAAATTATCACATGATCAATTCTTCAATCAATATTCCATTTTCAGAAGACAATGTTTTTGTTTAACCCACAATAAGACAGTTATCAGAAATAATTCAATTTGTACTCTGAATAAAACTTCATATTATCTCTTCCCTTCCTTCAATGAATAGAATGTTGACTTAGAAAGACTTACCATCAATTATAACACATGCATCATAAAAAGATGACTATGCATGTGGAAGTAGGTAGGGTTTGTAGAAACAGTTTGCAGTGGATGTTAGCTGGGAATGGGCTGGTAAAAATAGCGCCCCACCCTGTAGGAAGTTCAACATTTGAAAACTCTGTTAATCAAAAAAAAAAAAAAGCCAATGCAAATTATATCTGATTTTAAAAAAAAAAATTATCCAACTTTATGGTAGTTCTAAAAACTGTCTATAATTCTCTTTCTCTTGTATTTCTGCCCTTTCAAATGTGGTTGTCTGCAAATGCATTCTTTTTATACCATTTTCAATATGTAAAATCAATTGTCTTGTAAATAACTTATAAAGAAAAAAGTTTGTAAATACCAAATTTGTGGCTGTTAATGTTCATTTTTTGTCTTTAAAATTGTTTTGCTTTGTTCAGTTTAAACAGTGTTAACAAGGAGTATTAAAAGAGAAATTCTGCTTGTATGTTTAAACAAAATTGAAATAATTTTTTTTTACAATAAAATGAAAAGAATATTAATGCTTTTGTCATGTATTGCCTCATTGCCCATCAGGTAGAGTTCTGAAACACCGTGCCTTTTCTGTATCTATCAAAAAATAGTCATCTGATCATTGCTAGTAATGGGCAAGACTCCCCGTGCTGTCAGCTTAGCCATCTGTTTCTGTGTCTCTTGGATCATAAAAGTGGCCAAGGAGGTGACCCTCGTTTGGATTTATATTGTGGTGTCAGTCTCTCTAAAGGAAGTGGTGGTACTTCCAGCCTTGAAATAGGTGATTCTGGTGACCTTCCTCAAGAGGCCATCTTTGAACCAGCAGTTTTGACAACTATAGTTGAATCTCCCAACTTTCTGTTTTGATGAAAGTTGTTTAGAAGGTGGTAGAGACAATGTGATGAAAATACTAAAGGAAATAGATAATCTATACCCATTCACTCGTGTTTCAGGCCAGGAAGTATTGAGACAGCTTTGGTTGTGTTTGTCAAGGCTCCTCCTATGTGGAGTTCTGTACTGTTCTTTCTGTCTCCTTCTTTTCAATATCTACATAAAACTTGGAAGAAGTCATCTGCTGGTTTGAGGTTTGGCATCATTGGTATGCTGATGATACCAAATTATTTTTCATCTCTTGAGCCAGTAAGGCTGTGAAGGTTCTGTCATAGTACCTGGTGGGTGTACACGTTTCAATGAGAAGGAACCATCTCCAACTCAAAACCAAGTGTATGTGTTTGAATTGTCTAGATCTAGAGATACTCCATCTTTGACCTTGACTAGGGTTGCACTTCTTTCATAGTTGGTATGCAATCTGGCAATCTCTCTGGACCTGCAACTCCTGCTTGAAGAGCTGTGGCCAGAAAGCCCTTTGCACAATTTTATTTGGCGTGCCAGATACACCCTTTCCTAGATCAGGGCATCCTTCAGTTGCTCGTGCTCTAATTACCTCGTAGCATAAATACAGCAATTCTCTCTATATGGAGCTTCCCTTGAAGGCCATACAAAAGTTTCAGTTGGTCTGAAATATGGCAATATATGGGCAGTACTTCAATAAGCAAAGCAAAGCTCCTATAAAATCTTTGCTTTGTGAGAAACACCGGTTCCCAATAATACCTGCCCTTTGGAACAAGATTGACATGTCTTTTCAACCAAGGCTTCAGCTAGGGAGCATGAAATCCCTTACTTCATTGTACTTGCTGTCTTTATTTTTTATATTTTATGGCAATTTCCTTGTTCTGAGCTACCCAGAGTCATTGACTCAGATGGCATACAAGTTTAATAAATCATTGTCTTTTTCTGCTTGAAGATAATACATGGTATGAAGCTTGCAAACAAAATAGTTAGATATGTATTTAGAAAAAAATATTGATTACAGTACATAAATACCATCGTACTTTACAACCAATGCCTAAATGTATTATCTTTGCAGTGTCCCTCAGTTGTGATCATCATTACAAACAGTATACACTGTTAGCAGGTAAACCTGTTACCAACAAAGTTAAACCTCAAAATCCTCCGTTAACAATCTATTATTATATTTAACTCACAGAAAGTGAGCAATGGCTTCTTATTTATCACAAATTACCATAGCCCTTATCTCTAATCTGTCCAGGATCAAATATCTTCATTTTATTCTTAATAATAAAATTTTTCCTTAAGATTTTATAGCGATCTTTCCTAAAATTGCATCTCATTCCGCAGTCATAATACCTGTTGTATCTCCACAGCATGTGCTGTTCAGAATATATCTCTGTAAATAAAAACCAAAGCATCTCGTCAATTGCTTTCTGATTAAGCATAATCAATGACACTCCAAATTCCACCCATCTTCTTAAGAAAATCTAGTCCATCACTCATCAGTTCTATCATCTGAATCTTTTATATTCATGCCTCTTTTAATCTTACCCACCAAACCTGCAATTCTCAAGACAGACCCTTTTCCTTCATATCTGCCAGCAAAAGATCAAATTCCAATCCATTTGACTGTAAGTCTAGTCCAACTGTTACTGTATTTGGCTGTTATCTTGGGTTGCATTAATATTGTTGTTAATTTATCAAACTTTTTATCCAAGTTTTCAATTAGAATTTGTAAGTTAAAAAGCATTTTAAAGGTTTCCCAAAGGGCTTTATCTCTTTTTGTAGACAGTGTAAAGCACTGGTGGGATTCAATTTTTTTTACTACTGGTTCTGTGAGCGTGGCTTGGTGGAAGTGCAAAGGAAGGATACTGTAAAATCTCCAGTCAGAAGTGGTATTTGCCGGTTTTCTAACTACTCAAAATTTCCAGTACCGGTTCTCCAGAACCTCTGGTGTAAAGAATATAGAATATATTGTATTCAAATCATTTATTGTTATTTATATTTACATATTTAGATTTTAAAATAATCTGAAACTTTTGTAGTTGAGCATTCACGACAAAAGTGCAGTTTCAATCTCAAAGATTAGAAATAAAGGTACCATAACTGAACAATCAGAGAAAAATAGAGATAAAATTTCCCACAATAAAAAGTAGTTAGAAAAAAAGGAAATTTTCCATAAGAAGTTAAAATAAGACCAAAGTTTTTAAAAATTGTTAAAATACAGAATCCTTGTAGTAAAAATCCAATATAAATATGTTAAATTGGTTTTCATCACCAAGGGATAAATCCTCTTGCCATCAACTTCCTTTCAGCAAAAATGAAAGTGATTTTAAACTCTGAAACAAACAGTAAAAAGAAAACACCAAAAGCTTTATGTTAAAATCCAGCAACGGATTGTAGAATAAGTCAGCATTCAATCAGTCGATTAACAATTAAAAATATAAATCAAAAAGCAAAGAAAACTTTAAACAGTGCAATTAAAACCAAACCATGCTTAAAGATAACGAACAGTGGGAAGGAAAGGATGGAAAACTTGACCCTCCAATAGCTTCTACTAAAAATTGTGATTATCAAGATCCCTCTTCCCAGCAAGCACGTAATCATCTGAGGGACATCTTGGGTCATTCCTAGTTGCTTTTTTTCAAATCTAGGGAGAGGATCATCAAATAGCCAGCTTTGATGGCATGATCAGCTGTTTGTTGGCAAGGGGGGGGGGAAATCACCATCACTCAGCCTGCCATTTTGGGAGAAGTCCTCAATTGTGGTATTCCCATGGTCTGCCTGCAGGGTTTGGGAAGATGGTACTGCTCTGCTCTTTCCTCAGGTAGGCAGTTCCAGTCAGTATTAGGTTAAAATAAACATTAGCCCAATGTCTATTCCTTTATGGCAATCTTCTTTAAAGATTTGAGTCAATAAATATAATGAATATTGCTCAGATAAACATAAGATTCCCTAACCCATTCCCTACACAAATCCTGGGCAGAAATTTGATGTTCTGAATATTTTTATAGCCAAATGACAATTATTAGTTAAGTACAACTATATTAAAGTTGTATGCCGATCACAAAGGAATCAATGAAAATCAACAAGACATTTCTTTTAAAAAGAAAGGCTGTATTTTGGTGTTTTAAATTTAAGAAAAAAGAAGGGAAAATGATAAAGATGTATGAAAATGCAGAAAATGGATAGGGATACTTTTCTTCCATCTCATAATATAAAATGGAGGCAACCTAATGAAGTTGATCAGAAGAATATTCAGAGCAAAAAAAGGAAGTACTTCTCGTTATAAATTTCCTTGCTATACAATGAGGTTGCCTTTGAATTAAGATGGCTTCAAGAGATCGGAAAGATTCCTGAAGAGAGTGCAAAGTTGAATGGAAGCAAGGAACAACCCTTCAGAAATCTGTTTAGTCAGGACTCCTCCCATCCCCAGGGGCTTTGCCATCAAATATAGCGTGGGAAAGATCTGTATAGAATTTGGAGATGACCCCCACTCCTCATGGCATTGTAACAGGAGTTGCCAGAACGACAGCACTGTTGATAGCCGCATTGCCTAATGTCTGGGTAGCATTTTGTGTTGTGTCCCTAATGATCAACTGGCCACCGTAGCCTTACATAAGCCGCTGTTCTTTTAAACATTAATGGCTCTCTTGTTTTCTCCAGAGGAGGCTGCTGCGCCTCAACTATTTCGGCACTGCAGGAAAACTGGAATGATGTAATCCCCTGCAATGGGAAAACGTCATGCTATTTTTGACTAGCAAGTCACCTTCCGTCCACACCTCTCCTGCAGCAGTTTAGAAGAGATAAAGCACGTGACACTGTCGCCAGGAGTTCTCCCGCCCGCCCCCCTTCCCCGCCTATTGAACCGCTTTCTCGTGATGTCATCGCCCTTGATTGGGCGCGAAATTTCCCGCAACCTTCTTCCAACGTGCTTCCTCCGACGTGCCAAGCACAAAGAGTTCTGGGTGAACGAAGACAAGTTTTGAAATAGACCTGCGTTGGACGCTGGGAATCGTAGTCTTTTCATGATGGGACGTCATCTTCGTTACCCGTCATCCTCTTTGGGCCTTGCTTCCTCTTCCTCCTCCTCCTAACCGTTTCGCTTTTCTTGTTTCCTTTTTGGGTTCCTGTCAAAATGGCGGATCGTAGGAGGCAGCGCGCTTCGCAGGACAGCAGCGAAGAGGATGAGTCCGATTCGCCGCCTGGAAGCGCAGTTTCTTCCCCGCACAGCGGCAGTCACCGCTTTGGCTTACCCGGAGCGGCAAGCACCGCCGGTGCTACTCCTACTCCTGAAAATGTAGAGGCGCCGGTGACGGTTGGAGGTAGCCCGGCCGACTCGGAGTGTGTGAGTGGAAAGATCCGGAAGGGAAAGAGGGAACGGGAAAATTCTTACGGTCGGCTCCCCGCCTTCCTTTGCACATTATAGCGGGGAGACTTTGACTACGGTCCTCTCCATGGCCGTTCCTACAAAGTTGGGAACAACTGGGGAGGGGAACGTGGTTCTGAGTATGTGCAGAGTACTCCTTTAATTCGTCGCTGAGCAATAGCCCACCAGATTCCGCTTGGATGGGGAAAAACAAGCTTAGTGTCTGGTTTTCTTTTCGATGTTTTCTCCCTAGCCTCTCTGTCGTCTCGGAAGTAGATAGCCAGCACTTCCGTTTGCGTGCTGCATTAAACAAAATTGTATCTCTGAGTATAATACAGTATGCAGAAGGTGCGTACCTGTTATTCTAAGATAAAGGATGGTGGTGATCATGCAGATTTCACTGATGGTGTCTTTTATTTTGCGGGTATTTAAATTGAACTCGGTTCGTTAAGTCTCTTTGAGATTAAACGTACTCTTCTTGGGTTTCCAGTAGGTAAATACTATTATGTTTGAATGCGTGTCATATTTTAGTTTCTTACACCTGAGGGGGGTCTTCTGCCTTTATAAATAAGCATCGTGGGTTTTATGTAATAAGTCATTAAAATGTGGCCCTGAAGATTTTGTTGTGGCATTTTGAAACTGGTAATATGTTAGGTTAACAATCCAAATAGATACTGTAAAACTGATACTTTGAAAATAATTCTGGGTGAATTATAACAGACATTGTGTTGAAAGTTCAAAGTCACAAAGGGCTATTGTACAAATAAAAGATTTGGTTTGGTAGATGCAGGAATTGTTGTACAATGCATCTGTTACATTTAGCAAACTTACGTTTATGTTTAGCAAGAAGCAGTGTTTTCTGAATAATGTTTTTTCCATTTCAATCCTGTTCTCCATAGTATTAAAAACTGTATAAGTACTTAGGAGTTAATGTTCAGATCTTGCAACTTTAATTTAGGATACTTTGTTTGTATTGTATATTATATGGTAATATTATATTACCATTGTGAACACTTCTGTAAGAAAGTAAAATCTGTAAAATAATATCTTGGCACATTCTTGTTTTCTTGTGTTTTCATAGAAACACAAAGATAACATCTGTTTTTTAGGCATAGAGAGGCTATTATGTTTCGGGAACAACTAAGTTGCTAATGTAGACAACTGAAGTTTTTATTTTAAAAATGCACATGGACAATGCATGTATTAAATAATGATTTTAGGTCTAGCATTTTCCAAGAATTACTAATCATCTCCATGGGACATTTTTTCCCTGATGAAAAGTATTCATATTCGTGCTCTTATGAAGAAGATAAGATTATCTTATCTTCTATCTAATCTTACCTAATCTTCCATCTAATCATTATGTTATCTAATGTTTCATAAGGCAGGATTTCCTGTAAGTGGAAGAAAAAGATGCCTTCTTTCTTTTGGAATATCCTGATGCTTTACTTACAATATAGCAAAATAATTACTCCTAACAACAATCAGGCTCAGTTTTAAACAGCTATTGAAAAAGCACACATAAACAAGTTTAAGAATAAGAAAAATAATCAAATATATCAAGAAAGAATGGAAAACTCTATGTCCTAGAATTTTGGGGGAGCTGGGGATTGTTGTGGTAGATTATTCTTTGAATATTAAAGATGTAGTGATTTAAAGTAGAAAAGAATAGAATACTTTATTGGCCAAGTGTAATTGGACACACAAAGAATTTGTCTTGGTGTAAATACTCTCAGTATACATAAAAGAAAAGATAGAAAAGATAAAAGTAATATTTCCCTATCAAGTATTCATGAAAGATGCTGTCTGGAAATTTATTTAATGCTTTTAAAATAATTGAAAAAAAATAAGATACAAAAATAATTATGGTAGAAATATATGCTTAAAAAAAGCTCATAAGTATTTGAAAAGGTGAAAAAATACATAAAATGCAGCATGTCACAACAATAAACTTACAGTTTTATATATGCTTATACAAATATTCAACTGTTTATTTCTAATATACTTAAATAAGTCCATCTGTCATTATATTAGAGATAAAATTATATCTCTAGACCATCCTTTCATAGGTGACAATGTAATCAGGTATTCAATCCATTTAGTAAATATAGTAAATATACCTTCATCTTACCAATGCTGCAATGTCAGTCTTTCAGTCATAGTAAGAACACGGCCATTTACTTTGTTAAATTCCTTGCCTAGATACATAGTCAAGTGATTATTATCTTCTGAACATTTTAACTTTTTTTTTTTTTGTAAATTTTATTTGAGTTTTCACAAAGAGAAAAAAAATACAAATAAAACATCTTTTTTGAAAGCAGCATAATCCCGGGTTACATTTCTTCGTACAGACACAAATTCAGGTTCATGCTCATTTTTATATTCTATTCCATATCTTATTACTATTTTACATTTTCTGAATAGCTTCTCCCCTCTTTTAATTTTCTCAATTTTATTTTAATTATCTCATCTCAATTCAAATCATTGTATTTTTATTTTTTTTCTGTCCTGTTTCAATTATCTATTATCTTTTCTCATTAAACAAAATTTCTCCTGTAGTTACTGATTGGAGTATGACGCCTTTATATCTTTTCCCTAAAGTTGTAACATTCAATATAATACATAACTTCCATTCGGATTCTGCTTGGTACATTCTTAAAATACACACTATATTCTTAAAAAAAGAAAAAAAATATAAATGTATATAATTAAAACAACATTACATTCCAATTCAATTCTATCATTAATATTAATATTCATTAAAGTCTTAACATCTTTAACATTAGTTTTCAATTAAATATCATACTTCTATGGGAACAATTATAAGCTTTCCATAGTTAATTTCCCCCCCCCCTTCACTTATATTTTATAAAACATTAACTAATTAAAATGTTCCCGTTCCTTCCTAATTCAATTTTCTCATTTATTTTATTTCACTTATTTTATTCACAAACAATTCACTAAATTACACTAACTATTTTATCCCTCATTTTAATCATATGTTGTTTCCAATTTTCTAAAGTTATTTCTATTACTAATATAACAATCTTATGTACCTTTACAGAATCCCTTTTTCAGTTAGATGTTCACCCATTATCTCTAAATAGGACCTGTTTCTCTATATCTTGCCCCGGTCCTTTGTAACTTCTTTTCCTTTCCTTCTTCCCTCTCTTCTTCTCTCTCCCCTTTTTACCCCCTTGTCTCTCTACCTCTATTTCTCTCTTCTGTATTCCCCTTTTCTGTTGCTTTCCAGTATTATACTTATTTTTTGAATTATTTTTCTTTTCTTTGGTTGTTTTTTTAAGTCTTAAATTCTCCATTCTCTTTCCCCCCTTTCCTTTTTCTTTTTTCTTCCCCACATAGAATTATTTGTTCATTAAAGATGGCTTCTTCTTTGTCCCAGTCTTCTTGTTTTGCAGTCTTTTCTTGTTGTTTCTCATAGTTCCAAATCTCCATTTCTAAGAATTGAAAAACGAAGCCAAAAGAGCCCTTCTTGTGCATCTTCTTTGTACTTTTTAAGTTCCATTTTCAATTCATCCAGAAGTGTATAAATTTTTAAACAACCACCCGATTGATTTTAGTCATTCAAATATAATAACCAAAAATCCAAAGATCACCAAATAATCCAAATACACGCAAGCTGTTTCTTTTTTGCTCTTTTTTTTTCACTTTCTCTTCCTGGGGTTACTATTTAGTTGCAAAGTTTCAGTTAAAATGTATCTTTTAGAAGTCTTGTTGAAGTTTTACTTTAAATTCTTTTTATTTCCAGGCAGTCTCCTCCTTCTTCCAGATCCTGCCCTTATTCTTTTTCTCTCCCTTCCTGCTTATGAAAAAGAAAGTTTTTAATGTCCAGAAATCTTTATTATCCCTTTGGCATTTTGTTTTATTTTCAGCTTAATTGCCTATTGATGTCAAAGCGGATTTTTCCGATTTCTTATTTAAGTCTCTTAGTTGTCAGTATAGGGAAGGAGAGAGAAGGGGGAAAAAAGCCAAACCTTTCCCTTTTCACTTTCCTTCGCTGCTTCCGAGACTTCTTTGGGAGCGATGTTATTTTTTGTAAGTTTAAATTCCAGGGTACCTTGGTTGTTGCCTTTACAATTTAACCCGGTCAGCCAAAACTTTCACTTCTTATCTTCCTCCTGCACATTCTTTTCCGGTTGAGTTCTTCTTTGTGGTGGCCATTTCTGACCACCGCTGCAACCGCCTTCGGGAAAGGGAGTAATGGCCAGCTGAGGAGGAGAGATGCGGCTCTCCTCGACCCTGCTGGCGGTCTCCCCCCTCTTCACCACCTCTACGGGGTGGCTTAGCCCCGAAACCAGTCGGCTCGGGGCGCTCCAGTGGTGAGCCCAGACAGAAACCGCGCACGATCTAAACATTTGCATATCAAATTTATGACAAATACCTACAAAAACTAACAGGTTTTTATTTAATAGATTGTTAAACAAGGATTTAACAATTTTTTTCCTATATCTTAGATTGGTCCAAACACTGTTAACAAATGTTGTAGCAGTAAATATTGCCATTGGTTTATATCTGATAGATGACATTTATCTCTTAACACAACATATGTTAAAAATTATCTTCATCACCTATCAATTGAGCCAGTACCAATATCCCCCATCCATCCAATTTTTCCATATCTTTTTCCTAATTTTTAAAGTTGGGTTTCCCCATAAAGTCAATCTCACATGAGAAAAAGAGTCCATTTTTATTAGGCATTACATTCCATAAGTTTCTAAGCGACATAATTGTTTTCACTGGAACTTACTGGAATTGCACTGCCAGGAGGATATCTTCCTGTAGATTTGATACAATTCCATCCCTTCCTAATATTTATATTAATAACCTGATAATGCATCTCTGTTATAGTTGTATGATTATTAGTTGCATTGACATACCTGATCATTCCTTCAGAAGTTCAAAGCTGTATACATAATCCTTCCAATATTTTCCTTATGGTAACATGGCAGGCAGGCTACCGAGAAGCCTACCTGCCAAATTGCATCATTATATGATGCAAAGTCATATAATGAAACACATAGCCAAGATAATTCTTAATTTGAATCTCCTCAAACTATGTCCAATCTTGAAGCAACTATTATACTCAATTGTTTAGAAAATAAACCATGCTAAATTCATTTTTCTATTTTTTCATAATAAAATACATTCTTAGAGCAGTCTAATGTAACATATTTGCATCTGCCTGTTTTCTTTCTTTGATAAATGTTTTCTCTCTCAAAACAGGAAAGTGAAGATGGCATAGAAGGAGATGGTAAGTGGTATTAGCTTTTAACAGTAGTGATTGGTGCTAGAAATACAAAATAATTACGTAGCAATGTTTTTAATATCATAAAATATTCGTTGCAAATCAGTATTCTAATTCTATTCATTTTTTGGTAATAAGACCAAAAATGTATAGACTAGTATTTCTGTTGTTAGCAATGGAAGCAATATATAATCAAGTACCAAGGTATATATTTGTTATTTGACAATATTCTACGTTATTTGGCTGCCATAGCAGGGTGCAGTTCTTCAAGATGGTTACGCTGCAGTAATATAATTGTAAAGAACATGGATCACTGATGATAGTGTTTCCCAGTTCAGACACCAGCTACAGCTTGGTGTAATTGTTATTGTTTCTAAGGCCAGTGTGTCTCTACTGTAATATTGAAATTAAGAAGAGCTCCTAAAATATACATCTGATATTTTGGTGGAGCTACTATGATCTAGAATAGGACATCTTAATTTCTGGTTCTGAGAACTTCCTGTCAGTATTTCCTTACATCCTGACCGGATTCAGTTTGTTGTTTCTCATTCACTCCAATTCTACATCCAGGTAGCTCTCAAGCACTTGTGCAGTCTTTCCTGTTTCTGATGGAAAGGAAGGATAAAGGTGAATGTTATCAGCATACTGATGACACTCTATTCAAATTCTCTGGGTAAATGTTCCCACTTGAACAGAGAGGAAAAAATGGAAACCTATGAGAGTCCCATCACAAGTTTCTTGGAAACTTTCCACTCCTATTTTAGATAGTTCTGCAGGTAGGAATGAAATCATAACCACATTGTGGTTCCAGTTTCTAACTACCTAAATCAATACAGCACTGTTCCAACTGCCACATAGTTTAAAAAAAATGATCAGGGCAGCTGACAGCCTTTTTGTGGTATCTTCGCATCTGAAATAATACTGAAATGACTCATTCCCCAAATGAGGGGAATGAGTGGCACTGTGATGTTCTTTGTGCTGGCCCATCCTTGCTTTGGGCAGCTTTGATTTTTCTTCTTCTTGAGATTGGCAGGAGCCACTGCTTTGTTGCTTTGCCCCTCCACCTTTCCTCTGGGTCCAGCATTTTGGGTTCCTCTTCCATTTTGACTTCACGGTGAGCTCTGCTCTGAGAGACTGAAAACTTGGAGTCTCCTTTTTGCAGACATCCCTGGAAGAGGCTCACAAATGGCCTTCTCTCTCTCTCTCTTCCTCTCCCCCCCTCCCCCCCTCTCTCTCCTTAGAATAATTAGGTTTTTCCAACCTTACTGATAGTTAGATAACCACCACTTTTTTTAGCATCTTGCTGAATAAAGTTGCATAACTTTATTCAAAATGATTGGCATTGGAAAAAGACTAGTTTGTATACCTTTCCAGTTAGACTTCCTTATTAGATCTTAATAGGGATAATGTGCAAGAATCCAGATAAAAAGTAGTGGAAAATAAAAGCTTTTCATAGGTAAGATAATAATCTTTAAGGGAGGGAAAAACAAGAGTTCTGGAGTCATACTTAATGGCAAGTTAGAAAAGTGGAATAAAGAAACAGGATATGGAATTAAGGTTGTAAAAGATGGATGATGAAGACCAACATTTTTTACATAGGGACAATGAGTTTAGAAAGGATTCAAAAAAACATGAAACAAATACAAGGATATGTGAAGACATAGCCCCATGGGAAAGGTGAACAATTTTGTGCAGAATTCTTGGAAGAGGATTTAATATTAAAAAGAAAAATGAGTTAGTCAACAAATTAGTGCTGTAGTTTTCCCTGAAATAGATTCAGAGGAGCAATATTTTGCATTTGTTATGCTTTATAGAAAAATGATTTGTGATAGATGGAATATTCAAAACAAGCAATATTAGATGGATGAACCAAAGATAAAACAAGATTTTATATATGAGCAAAAGAAACAGGTAATACAGTTGCAAAATGGATTTGGAGGGTATGAATGAAATGCTTGGGAGAAAATAAGGGAATTAAGCCTTTAAAGCATTGCATTTTGGAAGATGTTTTTCACCTCAAATAACTCTTTATTTTTAGCTGTTCTCTCTGACTATGAAAGTGCTGAGGATTCTGAGGTGAGTTGAGGTCATATACATCATTTTATAATGTGCATGAATATGTAATATGGCAGTTTATTGGATTTTTTAAAAAAACCCTGCTACCATAGGTAGATTTAGAGACTGGGTACAATAAGTGCCTTTGGACAAATCAGGGCATGGAATACTTACTTCCTTATCACGAAAAGCCATTCGGCTCTTTTTTTCTATACACTTTGTATGTCTGGAGAGTTTCGGACATTCAGGTCATGCATATTTCAGCAATTCCAAGGAGGTGCCACACCTATCTGCATTATTCAAGTGATCCTGAGAGCACAGATAAATCTCAAAGTGGCCTCAATGACTCTCAGAAAGAGTACTAATGACCAGATGACTGTAAGGAATATAAGGAAGGATATGGAATATCCTTCCATCATTCACCATTTAGTCAGAACTGAAGAAGCTTTGTGGATGAGAAGTGAAACGTCTTCAAGGAAAAACAAAGTCCAGTTGCCTTTTGAAAAGACACCTTAGGATATACACTCTATAGTATATTTTTCTTTACAGCATTTAGGTTTTCCTTACACCATTTTGTGGACTAGAAATGCATGCTTTGGACATATGTTTTGTTTCTGTATATATTTTTAAAAGGTGTTAAATGACACACTGTATAACATACTCTGCATAGTGTAAATATAGACAAAATATTGGTTATTCTCCAATTGAATCAAATTGGATGTTTGTTTTAGGCTGAGGAAGGAGAATACAGTGAAGAAGAAACTAGTAAAATGGACTTAAAGCGGGACAGAAATGACACTGAATTGAGAACAAAAGCAGACAAAGCGGATGAGAAACCAGAATCAAAAGGCACAGTTGCAGGTGAAAGGCAGAGTGGGGATGGGCAGGTATGTTTTGCTGAATTTTAAGCTTAAGTATTAATTAACCTAGACATTAAAATATGTATTTGTATTGTTTAGCAAAACATGGTCATAGAATAAAAAAAATATTTTAAGTCATCACATTTAATAGATTTTCTCTCTCTTATGCTTGTATTATTTTGCAGTTGCATTCTAAGCAAGTAGTTTTGCAATAATTTTATAAGCAATATTTTGGAGCTAAAAAGAGAAGAGCTACCTTGGTTTAGCGTAGTAGCAGTAAAACTCAGAAGTAATAGTGAGCTTTGATTGGATGTGTCCTCAGCTAACCACCGGCATTTGGTTAATAGTGTTAATGGAAACTTGCAAGATTTTAATCGCTAAGCAGTGCAATCATGGGACATTTACAACCATATCATTTAGTGATGTAAAGCCCAATCTTAATTACCATCATTGAGAATGATCTGTATTGCTTAAATATCATGCTGAAATAGTTTTCACTGATATCTATACACAAAGTTATAGACATTTTTAAGAGGACTTATTTTAATTGACTACACATTATTTCTCATATCGTGACACATATTTCATCATATAGCCTTGTGTATATTATCATTTTCTAACATAATATTGAAATATAACCACAATTGTTGATTTAGCTTTATAAAACAGGTACTTATCTTTTACGTGACTAATATTTTTTTTTCATATTAGTACTTTCAAAGATATTTTAAAATGTTATGATGATTGATTTATATTTGGTACAGGTAGTCCTTGACTTACAACCACAGTCAAGTCCCAAATTTCTCTTGCTAGGAAGGCACTTGTTAAGTGAGATTTGCTCCATTTTACGATGTGAATTGTTGCAGTTAAGTTAGGAACATAGAGCTATTAAGTGAATCTGGCTATCCCATTGACTTGTTTGTCGTAAGGCTGAAAAGATGATCATATGACTCTGTGACACTACAACCACCATAAATACACACCAGTTACCAAGCATCCAAATTTTGATCACAGGACCATGGAATGCTGCAACTGTCATAAGCAGAGGTGGGCTGCTGCAGGTTCAGACCGGTTTGCCTGAACCCCTTGTTCTGATTCTGCACTGTTGGGAGAACCGGCAAATCGGACCACCAGCTGGCCCACACCTGTTTTCAGGCTGTTTTCTGCAGTTTTTTGGGTGAAAAACGGCCTGGAAAAATACGACTGTTTTTTGAGCTGTTTTCAGGCAAATTTTGGCCAGAAAAACGGCCTGAAAACAGCCCAGAAACGGCCTGAAAATGGGCAGGGGCATGGGTCACCAGTGATGGGATTAGCCCCAAGCAGCTTAATCCTACCTGTTCCTTTGAGGCGAGTGGCCGGAGGTGGGGCTGGTGTGACATCAACCACCCAGTCGCATGACCAACTGGCCACGCCTACCCAGCCAGAGAACCAGTTGTTAAAAAATTTGCAGCCTACCACTGGTTATAAGTGAAAAACAGTTTATAAGTCAGTTTTTTCAGTGCTATTGCAACTTTGAATGGTCACTAAATGAATGACTGTAAGTTAAAGGCTACCTGTAGTAGTTCACAATCAATTGTCTATCCAGAATACATAATCATAACACCTCATCAATCACATTTTTAGTAATGAAGACCATGGTTTCTGGGATATTGTTGGTGGTTTTCAATAAGTCAGTGAATGTTTGATTTCTCTCATTTTAGGAGAGCACTGAACAAGTTGAAAACAAAATTGGTAAAAAACTTCCTAAGCACCTAGACGATGATGAAGACCGGAAGAACCCAGCATATATACCTCGTAAAGGTCTTTTCTTTGAGCATGACCTCCGTGGACAAACCCAGGAAGAGGAAGTCCGGTAGGTGATAGGAGTAGTAGACAGCAATTGTAGAAAGAATTCATAGGCAGGAACATTTTACTTGCAGGCACAACTGACTGCTAACAAAGAAAAATACACAAACCTCTAAAGAGGATTATTGTGAGTTATATAGTAAAATAATGAAACTAAAGGAAAGTATGGAACCCATTATCAGTCTTCTAGTGCTTATTGGATCATTAATTGACTGGGCAACCATTAATAGGAGAGTACAGCTCTAAAAAGGTCTTAATTTACAGGCACAACTATTTCCTTTGTCTCTCCTTTGTCTTCCCAGGCGAGGTACCTTTTTTATTGAGAGGCATAGTGGCCCTGAAATCTATGAAGATTTTTTAAAATAAACAATTGTCAAGGATTTGGGTTGTTCTAAATTTTCTCTTGTGGAGTCATATTTTTAATGGCTTTGGCTTTCGTTCACTGTTACATATCTATGGTAAAGAACAGCAGTCTCCAAACTTTTTGGTATCCCCACATACCATTCTAATTGTTCTAATTGTTTTTCTTTATCTTGGTATACAAGACCTAAGGGTCGCCAGCGCAAATTGTGGAAAGATGAAGGACGGTGGGAACATGACAAATTTCGAGAAGATGAGCAAGCACCAAAATCCAGACAAGAGCTAATTGCTCTTTATGGCTATGATATCCGCTCTGCACACAACCCTGATGATATCAAACCCAGGAGGGTGCGCAAACCAAGGTGAATTTGTAGAAGTGGGTATATGTACTTTTTGTGGAATAATATAGGGCTTGAAAAAAAATTTCTGACCTTGAGAGAAGGACAATTGTGATGATGCGTTGAACACAAAACATTCATTTCTGATCAATAGCATCTCCTCTTCATTTAGATTTGGGAGTCCACCACAAAGAGAATCCAATTGGTCCAGTGAACGACCAAGTAAGCCACCACGACATCAGAGTCTAGACAGCACTTCTGTGGCACCTCGGACATTCATTAATCGAAACTCAACAGGAACAGGACGGATGGCCAGTCCAAGGGCATTGCCCAAACCTGGTGGCTATAAAGATACTCGCCCAAGTTATCGAGCTGTGGATGCAAGTAGTCAACATGCACCTCGCTTCAATGAACAGTCAAAGCCTGAGAGCAGTTACCGGTCCAGACGATCAGATCCAATCCCAGCAAGAGAGCCGTCTCCCAAATCTGAGATACCACCTATTCAAAACAGCCCTGTTAAAAAAGAAGAAGTTGTTTTGGAAAATCAAACTCCACCTGCAGATATTCTACAGACACAGCCAGATAGGCCTGTGGAAAAAAAATCCTATTCTCGAGCAAGAAGGAGTCGGAACAAAGTAGGTGAGACAGGAAAATTGGCAGATGAAGTTCCACCTCCATCAGGGTTGATGCCGGCACCATTAAAAACTGCTGATATTATACCATCACCTTCTTCAGCAAAGACTGGTAATTGGGAGGTACCTGTTGAGGCAAATCTGGATGGTCTTGAACAAGACATGACTCAGTTGAATATGACAGAACAAAACTGGAATCAAGGGCAACCCCAGTTTATACCACCACAGGGTAAGTGATATGCTAAAGCAAGGAAAAATTAATTTACAAAATATATAAACTAGACAACTATCCTCTTTTGATCATCATTTCAGAGATCTTTCCTTATCTTTCTTGGTAATTTCCAGTTTGTTCTGACATTCAGTTTGTTTTTTTCAGATATTTTGGTTTTTGCCAGTTTTTTTACATTCATATACCATAATAATTTATTTGAATTCATTCCACAATTTCTGTGGTTCCTTATTAATATGGTTTAATCCTTCAGAGCAATTTCAGAAAGTCTTCTTGAAGATGATTGGTATATCTTCCTATAATATGGAAACAGGTAGGCTTTGGCCACATCTTTGATGTTGTAGCTGAGTTCTTCCCTCCCTATACCAATAATATAATCACTTTGACTTCTGTGTGCTAAGGTATTGTTTATATAGACAGATTAGATGGATGGATAGATAGATTAGATTGGGTTTTTTTTGCTATTTTTCAGCAGAAAACAGCAAAAAAACACTCATTGGATATGCTGGATTAATGACCACGCAATGAGTCTAAAATTAAGTCTGGTGCCTTGACTTAATACCATGATAAGTAATAATTGAAATTCTAGGTTTCATTGTGGCTGTAAGTCAAGAAGAAACTGTAAGTTGTTCTCCTACTTCAGTTTCAGTTCATTTTTCTCATTATTTCCCATTTTGGTATTTTGCTCTCCAACAAAAATTGGTATATCTCACTTGCATTTTTTGGGCATTTCAGATTGAACTCTTAAAGCTTATTGATCTTCTGTTTTGTTTTGATCATAAACTTAGATATCTTTGCTATGTCCTTCCTAACTATAGAAACAGTGCAATTCCTTTTTTCTTTGTTGATGTCTAAGTATAATTGATACTTTTCCTTTTTACATTTTTTACATTCCAGGTTCCCAGTGACTGGCCCAAAGTCACCCAATCGGCTTTCATGTCTAAGGCGGGACTAGAACTCAGTCTTCTGATTTCTAGGCCAGCCCCTTAACCACTCAGTTCTTCCTCAATAGCATGTTGAGTGACATTTAATCTGAGATATCAATCATCTGGATTTCTAATGTTATTCATTTGTTTGGTTTTCTTGTTGAGACACATGAGTGGTTTATCACTGCGTTTTGCACTGATGCTATTGTCACTTAAATGAATTTGCTGCTGTCACTGAAATAGTCATCTGCCTCCAGCATATTATTATATTGCTGCTGCCCAATTTGGCTTGCTGAAATTACTTGCATGCCTTGAATGACCCTGCTGGGAGTATATACTCTTGGTATACATTCCCAACCTCATTCCTCCTGGGACCATTCCGTACCATATGGCAGCAAGGGAGGATTTTGGCATACTTCTCTCAAAGTGAGAAGCATTTGCCTTTCTTATATTATCTAGGACTTTTCCAAACCTGCTTTCTGTTTTTAAATTTTTCTTAATATTAGGATAAAGCTGAAGAATAATTGGTGTTTTCTTTCTCCTTTGTCTTTCCTAATAGGTTTGCCTAATCAGATGCACATTGGAGCAGCCCCACCCCCTCAGTTCAACAGGATAGAAGATATGGTAACATCCCATTTGTTTTTCTTGGTTCTGAAATGATGGGTTCAATTGGCAACTAGAATGCAGACTCTTATCGAAGGAATGAGAGTTTTTATCAAGCCGCAGGATCAGTTCAACAACTTGAACTTAGTGGGATACTTACCTTTGTAATAGATTCATCTAGCTTTGATTTAATGTTTTTGGAAGAAGAATGATAGACAAGATGAGATATCTATATGAACCAATCCTCCCTGTATACTGTTGGAGAGAAACTTGAATGTATTGTTAAAAAAAAACAACCAAACATCTAATCATTCCTGGGCAAAGTTTGACAAAGTTTTTAAGAATATAAACCATGTGAGGAACCCTTCATAATTAGAAGATATTTTATGGCTAACAAAGCTCATCGTACAGGAAAATATTTCACTCTGGCAATCTTTTAAGAAATTAGACATTGCTATGCTTTTTTCCAGGGGGTTCAAGGTGGGCGTGCAAAGCGCTATTCCTCACAGCGTCAGAGACCTGTCCCAGAACCTGCTCCACCAGTCCATATAAGCATAATGGAAGGACATTACTATGATGCACGTGAGTACAAACTGTTCATTAAAAGGATTCTTATATCTGTTTGGATTGTGTTTTGCAGTACTGTGGGCGACATATAATGTTCTTAACCTTTTGTAAACAAAAACAACAACCTGAAGAACTTGTTCAGAGAAGTAAGATTCATATGTACTAGTATAATGGGGAAAGTGAATGAGATACTGAATAAATACTCTTTCTAAACTGCACAGGCGTTTGCCTTTTGTAAGTTAGAAAAAAGTACTGTATTTCTGGAAGCCTGCTCTTTGTTAGAAAACTGTTTATTTCTAAAACTTAGAATGTTATCATTTTTTTATCAATTTCATCTTCATCCTGCCTTTAATCATACACATTTGATAGAATGTATGGTGCTATCCTGTTTGACAGGAAGTCCACTTGATCAGCAACTATTCAAAGTTAGGATAGTGTTGAATGAGATATACTCATAATCCGTCTTTGAATTTACAGTCACATGAATACAGTTTGGTTGCTTTATAAACTAAAGCTGCAATTAAAATTTATAGTGTTCCACAATCACATGATAACCATTTTCAACCTTCCCTATTGGCTTTCCATAAGCATAGTAAATAGGGAATACAGCAGGAGATCCCAAGTCGTTCCCACAAGTTACTCTCACTTCTGCTGCTTTTCTTTGCCCATCTGTGCTCCAAAGTGCCCATCCACAGCACCCACCTACCTGCACTCCATAGCACCCATTTGCAGCATCTTTTTGCAGCATCCTGTGCTCCACAGAATCACCTACGACATCCTCTTGCCTGTACTCAAGAGTACCCACCTGTGACATTCTCTCAGTTCCCTGTATCCATAGCACCGACTCATGACACCCGCCTGCCTACTCATACTACATAGCTTTCACTTGCTGGCCTGCTTCCCTGGATTCCGATCTCTTCCCAATGGTCCTTCCTTAACAACTCACATAACCCTCACTTAACAATAGCAACAAGGATGGATGGGATTGCCATGGCTACATCATACGACTGCATTGCTTAGTGATGGATATTTTGGTCCCAGTTGCCATGGTAACCTGAGGAGTACCTTTAATTTACAATAGCCCTGAGAAACTGATCCAAGTTTCAAGTCAAGTTGAACTGGGTTGAACTTGACTTGAACCCAGTTTGCTGTTCTAGTTACTAATGTACTAGGGGGTGGGGGTGGATTTTTTAAATGTTCTCTCTACCCAATACATTATATGTTGTTGTTGTTACTCTGCCTGATGGCAACTGAGGCTTCTTTTTACTTCATTTCAAAATAATTACTTCTGTCAGTGTTAGAAAGGTAATGTCTAATGGTTTGTCCTTACAGTACAGTTCCAAGGTCCAATTTATACACATGGTGAAAATCCTACTTCACTTCCTCCTCAGGGGGTGATTGTTCAACCAGAAATGCATCTTTCACATCCAGGTAAGGACTGGTTTTTCATAGCTCCTCTCCCCCCTTTCATTTTTCTCTAACATTTCCTTTACATTTTAATTTTACCAGCTTGTTAGAAATATTCTCAAATTCCTGCATTGCATCACTTATATCTCTTGAGATATATTTCAACAAATACATTGTTTGCTATTAACAACAACAAAGTGAGATTGCTATTAACAACAACAAAGTGAGATAGTTCATCGTTTCTAGTACATGGTTGCTCTTCTGCATTAAAGAAAATATTAACTATATTAATATATATGATTGTAAGGAAATTAGGAAGATGGAAAGTAGATGCACTTTCTTTCTTCGTTCACTGGAGTGACAAAACTCTTTGGCGCTACTATAAAGCTTTACTTATTTATACACTGTAAGTGTCAAAAGAAAGCTTTGGATTCCATTGTACCATTTTGCTATATTGCAACAGCTTTTATAAGTATCTAAAAGATAAAGCCCCAAAATTTAGTTTTGGGAACTCAGATATGTCAGGCAAAAAAAAAGAAGGGGGGTGAGGGTGGACTTTTTAAATGTTCTCTTTACGCAGTACAATCCAATATAAGTTTTGCAAACTGGGATGATTTTAATTGAAGGAAAATGAAACTTGTAATTTGAGATCAGATTTATTGAGACTATAAAGTTGAAGGTAAAGGGCTTTGTTTTTTGTAAAATATTTGACTTTTTGGAAAAAGAGAACATTCTGAATCATTGGTTTCTCACATATTTGATGCATAGTTTACATTTTTTCCTTTCACTTCTGGAGAAAGGAGAAGTTATACTTACTTCAGGTCCTGCCACTGGCAAGGAAAGTTGTTAAAAGCATATTTTTAAAACTTTATTTTTTCTCTTTCCTTGTATGCCTTCTTAAAATGTAATGAACTGGCATGGTTGGCATGCACCAGGTCCCTTTGATTAAATAAAAAGAAATTGGACCAGGAAGCGTGTCTTGCCTCCTGAGATATTCCAGAATAACTGGCAATCTGGCTGTTTTGGGTTAGAGTGGATGGGGTCTTCTTTTGGGTGTTTTTTTTTTTTTTGGGGGGGGGGGGGGGGGCGACACATATTCTGTATTGACTCTTGATACTGTCATGGTTATTCTAATTTATTGTGCTTTTATTTTGTTCCTTTCCTAGATATGTTTTGTAGTCAGATGGTGTCTATATCTAATGAAATAAATAATTACACAAGAAAGAATTTTAAAATGTATACAGAGTGAGGGGGGGAGATTTTCTGATCCTTCTGTTAATCAAGTAAATTAACCTTTGAAAATCAATCTCTGCAAGCGAAGAACAGGGATGCATTTGGCATATTGTAGACGTATGTTCCAATGACTTATTTTTCTTAGCAGCCAGATGGATTAACTATTCTTTTAACTTTAGCACATATATTAAAACATTATCTATTCGATCTTTGCTTCCTGATGGCATTTTGATTTTAGAATTGTTTGACTATGTTATCTGTCTTTGCCAGGATTGCATCCACACCAGACACCTGCACCTCTAGCTAATGCTGGCTTATATCCTCCTCCTGTCTCAATGCCTCCTGGGCAGCAGCCTCCTCCACCACCACCACCACAACAGCTGTTAGCACCAACCTACTTTCCCCCTCCTGGAGTAATGAATTTTGGCAATCCCAGTTACCCCTACCCTCCAGGAGCACTTCCACCTCCCCCACCTCCTCACCTGTATCCTAACACTCAAGTAAGTCTACTTACGTTTTGCTTTTAAATGCTAGTCATTTTGGGGACATTTTGCTGAATGAAGAAAAGCATGAATTGATGATCTATGTAGTTGAAGAATAAGAAAGATGCAGATTAAAAGAGGAGGCTGAGAGGATTTGTAAAATATTTAAGAGGGACAATATGATTATAATTAATATGTTGAAAAGATGGTTGAAAGTTGTTTATATATTTCTTAACTATAGCTTTGTTTTTTTCTTTGACTTTGTTTTTATTATATGAAAATGTTCAATAACATTTCATTTTCATTTTAACAATAAATGCATTGTTTCTTAGAATATACTGTATTCTTAAGAAAATCTTCATATGCAAGTTTTAATAAAATGTTTATTTCAATAGGGAGTTCAAATGTTTTTTAATATATAATGTTTATATCTTATAATTTCACAATTTACTAGATATTGTTGTCTTTTTAACTCTGAGTTTTTAAGTCAACTAAAATGTCTGTGTTTTGAATTTCAGTGAATTCAATATACATATATAATAACATTTCTTTCTTTCCTTTTGGATTTGCAGGCTCAATCTCAGGTGTATGGGGGGGTCACCTACTACAACACAGTTCAGCAGCAAGTGCAGGCCAAACCTTCACCTCCCCGAAGAGCCTCCCAGCCAGTCACTATCAAGCCACCCCCTCCTGAGGTCTGTTATTTCCCCCCTGTCTCTTCCTAGTTTACTATTGTATCTGCTTCCACTGGAAGAATGTCCTTTAATAATGAGAGTGCCGATCTCTCCACCTGATTGATTCGTTGCAAGCTCTAGTTTCTTATTACAGATTGTAAATAGGTTTCGTGTTAACATCTATGAAGACTTTCACAAATAAATTTAGAAGTTAAAATTAAGATTGATGTCTAAATCCTGTTTGACTAAACTAAAAATGTATTTTAAAATCCATCTTTTTAACTGCAGCTTAACTACTTAAGACATAACTTCACAATAAACCTGAACAAACTTTCTTGTGCAATGTATAAATGAATGTACCACTATTTAATTGATTTGGCAAAAGCTTCACTTTTTGTGTTTTATCTTTATTTAGTGCTTTTTTTTATCTGAAAATATGTGAGGCCCTATTGCTACATCAGCACAACATTATTAGTTAAAACATATTGCTCCAAAATGTGTGAAGGTAAAGCATTTCCCTTTTTAAAATGTGGGGAAGAATCTATAATTCTACAGAAACTCCATTTCTTTATTTTGGGGGCACCATTTGAGATAAATTCCTAAAACCTTTTAAAGAAAATGGGAATAACTATTATTTTTGGTTTAATATTGACTTAATATTTTTTATGATTAGTTACCCAGTTGCTGTAAATTAAATTCAGATTTTATTTAATTTGCTGATTTCATATTGAATTGTTGAATTGACAGGTAGCAAAAGTTAGTAACTTTAAGGACATGATAATATATTTGTATTAACAATTGTTAACTTCTGACTATTCTCTAGATAAATACCGACTAAACTCACAATTTGTGACTGGGCCGCACCGTTTCAGACTGAGGCTGGGCGTTTCCCAACAGAATGTTTCTTAAAACTCCCTCCTTCCATGTAGGCAGGTAGAATGTTGCAAAGAATCCTTAGTTAAATTGTTCTGAAGGAATATTACTTGTAAGGAGCTCTGTAGTTGTATACAGTGGTAAAACAAAAAAATATGTACTTGTGTGTATTGGCCAATAAAAAGGATGCTATTTCATAAAGGGGAAATGCTTGGGATATGATCAAGAATTTGATTGAATCTTGACAACAATAAGCTATATCTTACATTGATGATTGTTTAGGCTAGAGAATAGGAGCCCTTTACATGTCTTCTACTGTAGGCTGGGTGATATCGTGGTGCTGAGACTAACCTTCCTCCTTTCACAGGAATTAATTAATTCAAAAGCCATTTCAAAGCATCACAAATGCTTTGAAGCAGCTCCTGTTGGGAGCAACTTAACTGACTGCTCTCACAGCCAGCTTCATACAACCCACACATTTGTTTGAAAGGCATGTGGCTGAAGTGGCAGGGAGTGAATGCTTGCCTGTGCTCCTAACTCAGCACCTCTTTTGACAGACAGATTTGCAGTTTCTTCTTGGGAAAAGTGTCGGAGTAGGTAAGATATCACCTCAAGAAATAGTTATTTCTCTGCAGAGAAGTGCAGTGGGCAAGGGGCTTCATACTATCAGCTCCAAAGCCATATTAATGAAAGAGTTCTGCTCTTTTCCCCCCTCTCATTTCTATCTAGGATGGCAGAAATGAAAAATCCAAAGAAAGAAGCAACATTTAGAGAATTCTGCATCTTGCTGATTTCAGTAGAGTTCCAGAGCTGACCCTGTGGAAGACAGAAGACAGCTCCTTTGTGGAATCTCTCCTCTCTTTTCCCTTGGTAATGAATGATGCACAGGGGTGCAGATGCATCTGCTAGGCCAGGCCATATCAGTATTATATCTGAGGCAAGATGTCTATCAGAAGGGTATCAGCAAAATCAGATATTTTTGCAGTCCCCCCCCCCTTTTTTTTTCTGGTGTAATATTCTTTGGAAGATATATATGATCAATGACAGAGGAGCAGTTCTACTTTATCCCTTTCTAAATGTGAGAGTTTTTAAGTGTCAAGCTAAATCTATTCGGCACATCCCTATGTTTGTTTCTTATTCAATGTACCTGTCCCTGCTTTATTTCTGTTCTGTTTAACTAGTTTGTTAGCTTGAGTTATATGAATTTGTTTTGCTTGGCTATGTTTTTTTCCCCAACAATACAATTTTAAAATAAAATACCATTTTACATGTGCAAGATTATGCATTTGGGTAATTAATGCTCTAAGATCGCCTTCAAATTTAGACATTTTATGCTCAAAACTGTCTCTGGTGCATTGTTAGACGGCAGAAAAGGTATTTGTTCCTTGTATAACACTATGTTCTTTAGGATTCTAAATCACTATTTCTCAGCCTTGGCAATTAAGCTGTGTGGATTTTAGCTTCCAGAATTCCAGGCCAGTAATCTAGGGGTAATTCTCCTCACTGAAGTCCACAAAGTTTAAAGTTGTCAAGGTTTTCTAAATGATGCCTCACAGACATCTTTTTCTTGCCTGCCCTTTGCAGCTTACAATTTCCCTATTCAGGCTGCATGGCTTCCATTAACCTCTTGTAATCCTCATAAACTTTGAATGTACTTGATTTGCTTACAGAACCATAGTAGTAAATGGCCACCTTATAATCATTTGGGCAGGAGGAAATTGATTGGCATTAAACTAACTTTTGGTGGGGTTTTCAGAAAATATCCTGGATCTGTCTGCCTTTTTTTTTTTTTTTTTTTTTTTGGGGGGGGGGGGGAGCTTGCATGTGTAAATTCCTACTTGGAATGTACCAGGACCTATTTTTTAAAAAAATATATTTTAAAAAGCAGTTTAGCTAACATTTGGGGAAAAAACCTGTATGATGAAAATATATTTGGTTTTTTTCCTGCCTTAATGTTTAAATGTATTCTTTTAACATCAGTCTTGAATCTTAGACCTAACGACACTGTGATAGTTAATTCTTGTTAATAAATTTTTTTGTTCCTGTTTCCAAAGTGCTTTTTTGTGTTAATAGTACTGCAGATACTATTAAAGTTAATACATGATAGTTACTCAGTAGAAGCTTGTATATTAATCATCTTCATCTATCCTCAGCCAGCCAGCCTACTTCCTTTCTTCTTATTTAGAACCAGTCCTCATGTCACCAGTCCCCATTAGTTGTCAGGCTCTCTGTAAACATTTCAACCTTGAATTAGCATACAGGTGCTTTTCTAAAAAAGTTCATAGTTATATAGTATAACATATTTTTATTCCCCTTGAAATAGAGGCAGTCAACTTCTTCCAGTCAAACCCACATTTAATATTATTTTGCAGAATGAGAGCTGCAATGTTGGGGTAGGGAATTTGGAAATTTTCTTTGCTTTTTTAAAAAAACTGTGATAGCCTGTTTCAAGATTTACATTACGATACTTGTGTTTTCTACTCCAAAGTAGTAAGGAATTATACAATCAGATTTAAGTTTGAAGGTAACTGGAGAGCTAAGGGTATAAAAGACTGATAAAGCCTTTCAAATTTGTGACTTTGATTTAGAATTATCAGTGGGGCCCATACTATTATTGGAATTCTGGGAGTTAAAGCCAAGACATCTGGAGGATGCCTAAGTTAGTCAGAGTAATGGTTGTTTTTTGTTGGTTTTGGTTCCTGAAGCAGCATTTTTCCTACTTGGGAGAAAATGGTGAGGGAGAAGCAGCATGGGTTTTATCTTACTGTGGAATTCCGGGTCATAGACAAAACACAGGAAATGATTTCACATCATTGTGGGGGGAAAAAGAAAAGTATTAAGTATTTGAGAAAATATTTTTAAGTGAGATATTTTGGTCTTAGCAATAAATAGTAAGCTTGTAAGAAGTTGTGAGACAGTGTTTAAGTTTTAAAAACTGAAAAGCAAGGTGTGTTAGGAGAGGAGGAAGAAGAAAAACTCTATAATCTTCCTTAATTTTTTTCTTTTGAACTAAATAAGTAGAGGAAGACCATGGTAAGAGACAATACAGGTGATGGAATGTACAGTAGACATCAATCAACAGAGAACTTAGGAACCTGTCTCAGTTCATTCTAGAAAGATAATAGGTTTTCTGGACAAGCGTTTTGTTCTGAAGAAAGACTTTAGGTTAGCTGCAATATTAATCAAAAGGAGACGTTCAATCTACCTCTTTTTGATTTAAACAACACCCAACAATATTTGGATGTCCTAGGTATGAGAAATAAATTTTCATAGATATTAGCCTTCATTAGATTTTTTGCCTGCCACAAGGGCACAAATGGCAAGTTATAGGAATTTTATTATGGCCTGCAGAAAGTGCAGAAAGAAGTAAGTTGCAAAATTCCTTGGCAAAGGCACTTGAAATTTTGAATGGAATAAATCAATGGGCAAAGATAATATGCCAAGTGTTCCCTGTGAAATACATTTGGGCATCCTCTGGAAACAATAAAATAAAATAAAAAGGAAAGTAAAGAAGTTATGGTTCTTTTGCAATTCTCAGCCATCAGGGAATCAAGTATGTTAGCATGTGAGTCTGAACCAAGACCAGAGATTACTTTGAAGTTCAATTAACTGGCTGAAGGAATTGTATTCAGTGCTCAACAATTCTTAGGGCTGTTGCCTAAATAAATAAAAGAGGGCGGGAATATGACCTATTCTTTCCTTTGCAATAGGCACAAACCACCATTGTGGTATTATTGGGTGGTAGATTATTTCCTATGCCTGAAAATTCCCTAACCAGATTTCTATATGGTAGAGATGGATGGTCGTATGGAAGCTTTTTGCAGTTCTGTCCTCACATTTTGCTCTCTAATTATCAAGCCTCAGCATCATAATCTCCTGCCAATCTCTTTCAAGATACGTATGCATCATGGCAAATGTTACATTCTTTACAATCAGTGATCCCCAACCTTTCTTATGCCGCGGCCCGGTATCCCCAACCTTTTTTATGGCGCGGCCCGGTACCGGCATTAGCTGGGCGGCGCCATCTTTTTTTGATGAAAAAGTGCTTCCGGTGAG